TGCTGCCATTAACCACAAAGACAATTCTTGCCATTAAATAAATGAAAAATTTTGTGACCGGAGATTTGAAACTGAATTTTACTAATTTATATATTTTATAGAAAATAAAAGAATTCAATTAAACCATATTTAATTAATATTTAGCGATATTGATTAATTATTAAGTAATGTGATTTAACAAAAAAATTAACTAAAAAAATCAGTATGAGGTTAGATCTTTCATTTTCCTTCATTGCCAATTAAAATAAATTGTTATGTTATTTACTCAAATATTTTTATGTTGATTATATTTTATTAGAAAAGTAATTAAAGAACTACTTTTAAGAATTTTTTGTTAATTATTTTTTATTTTTTTGAGAATGAGATTAAAAAATAAATTAAATGTGAATATATCAATAAACAATTACTCTAACTTCTTGTTTAAGCAGAATGCAGCTCAATGGGTCCAAGTCATTATTTAAAAACTATAAGTCGGCGGATTATTTAAAAACTAAAAGTCTGCGGACCAAAAAGTCCGCCGTTTACAACAAGTAATCACGGGCCCAATGGAAAAATTTAGTGGCTGGACTCCATTTCCAGTGACCTGCAACCATTCACGACTTTTCCGCCGGTGGAAAATTTAAGATTCTATTTTTGTTTTTTGTTTTTTTGTTTTTGTAAGTTAGATTCCAGTTATTTATTTATTTATAAAATAATGAAAAAATAAATTTTTTACATATCACTTAGGATAATAATTAAATAGATTTTTTTTTATATTCCGTACCACAATAATTCGTATAATTTTGCCCAAAAAATGTTCCATAAAATAAAGAATTTTTCATTTAATATAAACAATTACTCTAACTTCTTGTTCAGAATAAATGAATTCATTTATAAATCTAAATTTGTATTTAGTTTTAAAAAATAAATATTTAAATTCTATAAAAAAAAAAGTGAAATTTTTAAATGAATTCCACAAACTTAAACAATCTAAAACTTTATGACAAAACTCCTCGTTCTCCTAACCTTTTAAAATTATTATGCCAAAAGTATTTTAGAAATAAAAGCAAATGAATTTCAATTTTTGAATTTATTACAAATATGAAAAATTCATTTACAATTGAATTTTATTTAGAAAATTAGAGTAATTTCTAATTTAAATTAAATAAGGGATATAATGAGAATTTATTTTGGAATTTTGTAAAATTGACATGTTCTTGTCTGGAAATTAAATGGTTAATTGAGTTGATTAGGAATAGGAAACTTCCCACATAGGTGACTATATCATTTTCCTTAGTCCTTGGAAAATTAAAATGAAATGACAGGCATCTCTAGTTGCTTATAAATAGGAACATGATCAACAATATAATATAAGCAGGAAAGAAAGAAGATTTGTCCATATGGCTACTTCATTCTCTCATAGCTATTTCCTCATTGCTTCTCTTTTTTATCTATTCCTTTTCTCCTTCTTCTTAGAAAAGAATGCTCATGCCTTTCAAGGAAAAAAACTTCTTCATCAACATACTCATACCATTCAAGTCAGCAGCCTGCTTCCATCCACTGCTTGCAAACACTCTCCCAAAGGAGGTTTGATTATATGTTCTTTTAATTCCAAAATACAAATTAATACTAATATATATTCAATCGCTATTATGTGATAATAGTCAATTAAGGTGCTCTAATTGCACTTATTTTGGATAAGAAATGTCTTGCCTATATTTAGTGTATGGGTGATCTCATACATCAAGTCAATCAAAAAAGGTTTTCTTTTAAAAAAAAAAATATTATAATTCTATCTTTTTCTCCTGTTGTATGATTAGAAAAATATCTTTGTTTAAATTGAAAGTGATCATAATTAGTTTAGTATACATATGAGCTCAAACGCAGACAGCAGCTACGACTTATCTGGACAGGATAAAACCAATTTGAGTGGACATGAAAACCACAATCCAACTATCCAACGTGGTATTCTTTATGTTTAATTAATTAATAATTATTGTAAAGACTAAGTCTAACTATCATATACCGTTGTTCTTGTTTAGTTGCCGAAAATAGTGCCACCCTGAAGGTAGTTCACAAGCGTGGTTCATGCGTCCATCTTAATCAAGACAATGCAAATTCTCCAAATGTCTCGGAGATTTTACATGAAGATCAATCTCGGGTCGATTCAATCCACTCAAGAATTTCCGGCAACTTGGAGGAGACCAAAGCAACTTCACTTCCAGCAAAGATAGGCACCTCACTTGGCGTAGGCGATTTCATTGTTACCGTTGGACTTGGCACTCCAACAAAGGATCTCCAGCTCGTATTCGACACTGGAAGCGACCTCACTTGGGCTAGATGTAGGCCAAACGTCGATACTTTCGACCCCACCAAGTCCACTTCCTATGCCAACGTTCCTTGCAGCTCTCCACTTTGCTCTTCTTCCACTGGAGGTATAATTTCTTCTGATAGGTTTCTCACTTTATTTTATAATAAAAATTAAAGGAGATTAATGTTGATATCAGGAGCCATTTTAAGATGTTCTTCATCATCATCAACATGTGAGTATGGCTTAGGATACTTGGACGGGTCTATCTCTACTGGACTTCTGGGCCAAGAAAGGCTAAGTTTAGGGACAACCGATGCATTCGACAATTTTTACTTCGGTTGTGCTCAGAATAGTCAAGGCACATTCCATAACATTGACGGTTTGCTTGGCCTCGGCCCAGGAAAGTTATCTGTCGTCTCACAGACCGCTTCAAATTATAACAAACTCTTTTCCTATTGTCTTCCTTCGGATAGCTCTACTGGGTTTCTCTCCTTGGGAGCTTCTCAATCAAATTCTGCTAAATTTGTCCCTCTATCATCAACCGACTTTTATTATCTGGATCTCACTGGAATAACTGTTGGTGGCCAGAAACTGTCAATTCCGAATTCAGTGTTTTCAACTTCCGGCACTTTCATTGATTCGGGCACCGTGATCACCCGGCTGCCACCTGCAGCTTACTCTGCTCTACAATCGGCATTCCAAGAACTGATGTCCCAATATCCAAAGGCTCAGCCACTGCCAACACTGGATACTTGTTATGATTTTAGTAACTTTCAAACGGTTAACGTGCCTAAGATTGTATTGTCGTTTAGTGGAGCGACGGATGTGGAAGTTGCCCAATCTGGAATTTTCTTGAGTAATGGGGCGGCGCAGGTGTGCTTGGCTTTTGCTCCGAACAGCGATCCCAGACAGAAGGCTATTTTCGGGAATAAGCAGCAACTAACTTACGAGGTGATTTATGATGTTAGCGGAGGGAAGGTTGGGTTTGCTGCTGGTGGTTGTAGTTGATAAATTAATCTAATCAAGGTTTTGTGTTCTAAATGCTAGTTAAGTAAGCAGTGACATGTCGTTTGGTTGTATGGATCTGAGGATTAATAATAAAGGCTCATAAAATCCCTCGTTTGTTTAGTATTATTTCGATTTTACACTTTTTAATCCTGTGAAGGCCATGTCTGACCCGCTGAGCTTTGCAACGCGAGCTTGCAACTCTTGTGAGGGCTTTAAAGTGGCGGAACGTTGTTTGAAATTACTTAGGCCGAGCCTATGTTGGCTATTTGCTGTGGTCCTAGCGAAGGCTTGGGTCACTCTACTCCTGCATAAGGGGCCGCTGCGTTAGGATGGTTTGGCAGTGGATGGATAACAGGCTGGTGCCAATTCGGCCCATCATGGCTTCATGGGTTTGACCTCAATTGAACAATCATTTTTTTTTTTTTGGAACTGAATATATTTATTAATTAATAAATAATTCGAAATTAGTTCGTGATTCACATTTCCAAAACACGAAGACCAGCTGGATTTGAAATCTTACAATCTCTTTTCTTCCACTCTGAAGAGTTGGTATTTTGCCTAATCATTGACTTGTAGTCAAGCAGTGCCCCCTCCAATAGTCTGTGCTTTGTGTGCTCTTTCATGGAGTCTTCGTCTCCCTCCACATATGCGACTATATATAGTGCTTGACCAGACTTTGGCGGCCTCTCAAAATTAAAATGGATCAAAATCAATATTTATTCCATATCAAATCGAGCTGCAAAAATCAGAATTTAAACTTTATTTTTTCCTTAAATCACATATGTTGCATAACCAAATCAAAAATCAAAATCAAAATTATCTAAAATTTTAAACTGAAACTACATCTACTGTCGAAATAATTGAACCAGAAAATCGATGAGTCGGAACTTTCCTTAACCCAATTAATTATGTCTATTAAATGTAACTCTAAAATTAAACAACTATAGAGTTTAAACTAATAGTATAAAAATGTAAATTCAGAATTAGAATTTTAAAACAGAAGATAATCATTTGTTTCCTGCAAATACGGGTGGCCACAGTTCCGGAACCACCGGTTTCGGTTCCAGAACCGAACCAAAAATTAACAGTTTCGATTATGATTTGGAACCAAACAGTTTCGGTTTCAATTTCGGTTCCAGTTTCTCAACGGTTCCGGTCGATTTCAGACTGGTTCTGGCCAGTTTAAGACGGAACTAGAACCATCGGTTCCGGTTGAAACTAGAACCGCCGGTTCACGGTAAAACCGGCGGAACAGGAACCGAACTGGTTTGGACCGGTTTCAATTCCAGTTAGGATCGATTCTGATTCCCACCGATTTCGATTCTAATTTTCACCAATTCAAAACCGATGATTTTAGTTCCGAAAACCGGATTTTCGCCACCACTACCTGCAAAACATAATTAACGGACTTTAGCAATACGTTGGTTGATGTGTGAGTGTCCATAAGAGTAGAGAAGTTCATGCTAGAGAAAGTCATCATTGCCTGTGACTTGTTGCCTCTTAATTAATGGAACTAATAAGTGGATGGAAGAAAATTTTTTTTATATTCAGAAAAAAAAATTATCAGTCTAATTTCAAATAATGAAGAGAGGCTATCTTTATTTAGTTGAGCTTCCACATACAATTTTACTAAACTCAATAAAGTTAAATAATGAATAATATATTGTAATTTGCAGCTATATATATTTGGGTAGCCAACCCACCAAACGACAAGAGAGCACAGAGCAGTTTGTGAAATTCTCAGTAGCGAGGAAGTAATTACTGAGACAATGGCGACTCCCTTGTCTTCCATCTCATCAATCAGTTTTTTATTTTATGCTTTGATAGTTCTTGTGTGCCCTTGTTGCTCTTTGCAGAAATCTTTACATACCCACAATTTTAAACTCACTTCTCTTTTAGCCTCTAATGTCTGCAACCGATCTTCTAAAGGTGAAATCTTGATTTAACTATCTTTAGATAATTGTATTCTATCTTATTACGATTTGTTTGTTTTTACTTTTTAGATTCAAAAATATGATTTCGGACCCTTACCATTACAATGTTTTTTGCTCAACAAATTCTGCTCTTACCCATTTAATACTTTGTGATTGAACTGTATAAAACAGGTTCATGGCTTTGTCTGTAAACCAAACTAATGAAAATATAAATTTTTGTTAGAATGATAGCATAATTCTATTTTTATTGATTTGGTTCATAGATAGAGTTATAAACCCGGTCTAAATAAATCAATTCAAAAAAACAAAAATGAATTGCCTAAACTAAGTCTATGGCCAAACAAATGAAAATAAATTTTTTTATTCAAACATGGTATTTCTACTATACATGGAAAAAAATGATAAAGTATGAACAATTTTAAAAAATTATTATTTCTTAGTTTGGTTTAGAGTGGATGATGAATTTAGTTTAGACAAAAATAATCTGAAAAAATAAAATAAGAACAAATTTGAAAATTTTTATTTTCATTCGGACATGTAGACGGTGAATTATCAATTTCAGTTTAGTTGTGCATGTTAACAAATTATTAATTTGAAGAAATTATAAATGTATTTCAGTTCATAAGCAAGGTTCATCCTTAGAAATAGTGCACAAAGACGGTCCATGCAATGAAAAGATGAAGGATGATTTCAAAACAGAAATATCTGCCTCTCATTACCAGGAAATGCTTCTTCAAGACCAGTTACGAGTGGATACAATTCATGCTAGGTTTACCAGAAGAAACAACTCCGGCCCGTTTGACGAGATGCAGGCTAAACTACCGCTTCAGTCCGGTGTTGCAATCGGCACCGGAAATTACTTTGTCACTGTGTCCCTTGGAACGCCACAAAAGGATCTCTCTCTCATTTTCGATACTGGTAGTGACATTACTTGGACTCAATGCGAGCCATGTGTTGTCTCTTGCTATCAACAAGGACAGCCAATTTTTGAGCCAAGGAAGTCTTCCTCGTACGCGAATGTTTCCTGTTCTTCATCGTATTGTAATTTAATCACTGAGTCTGGTAATTAATTATGAAAAAACCCTTTTTTTTTTTTTTTTAAGAAAAGAATCCATATGGATAGATAGACATGAGATTTTAAATGAAATAAATATATTCTGGGTGGCTGCAGGTGGCAAAAAGGGCTGCTCTTCCTCAACCTGTCTGTACAAAGTCGTATATGGCGATGGAACTTACTCTGTTGGATTTTTTGCCACCGAAAAACTAACCGTTACAAAATCAGACACGTTCAACAAGTACGTGTTTGGTTGCGGTCAAAGCAACGCTGGCCGCCTGGGTCGAGCAGCTGGTTTGCTTGGACTTGGCCGGAGCCAATTATCTTTTGCATTCCAAACTGCTAAGAAATATAAAAAGCTCTTCTCTTACTGCATACCACCTACCTCGAGCTCGACCGGTCACCTCAGTTTCGGGGGCAATATAGGAAAGACATTGCCGGTACGTGTTTGGTTGCGGTCAAAGCAACGCTGGCCGCCTGGGTCGAGCAGCTGGTTTGCTTGGACTTGGCCGGAGCCAATTATCTTTTGCATTCCAAACTGCTAAGAAATATAAAAAGCTCTTCTCTTACTGCATACCACCTACCTCGAGCTCGACCGGTCACCTCAGTTTCGGGGGCAATATAGGAAAGACAGTGAAGTTCACTCCAATGTCCCCAGATTTTCAAAGCACGCCTTATTATGGCATCGACATCACTGGAATAAGCGTCGGTGGAGACAAACTAGCCGTTTCTGCTTCAGTTTATCAAACGGCCGGAGCTATCATTGACTCCGGAACAGTAATTACTCGATTGCCGCCAACAGTATACTCTGCACTGAGCTCCAAGTTTCAAGAAATGATGACAGAATATCCGATGACCGACGGATTTTCCATTTTGGACACGTGTTATGACTTTAGCGATTTTGACACGGTAACAGTACCGAAGATCAGTGTTTTCTTTAAAGGAGGAGTAGAGGTGGATATATATGTGACGGGGATTTTAATCGTGGTGGACGGGATTGAGAAGGTGTGTCTAGCTTTTGCACCCAATCAGAAAGACAGTGAGTTCGCCATATTTGGAAATACTCAGCAACAGACGTATGAGGTTGTACATGATCTTGCAAAGGAAAGAGTTGGGTTTGCTCCAGCTGCTTGTAGCTAATTAGCTTGCTAATTAGCTTAGCGATTTTGACACGGTAACAGTACCGAAGATCAGTGTTTTCTTTAAAGGAGGAGTAGAGGTGGATATATATGTGACGGGGATTTTAATCGTGGTGGACGGGATTGAGAAGGTGTGTCTAGCTTTTGCACCCAATCAGAAAGACAGTGAGTTCGCCATATTTGGAAATACTCAGCAACAGACGTATGAGGTTGTACATGATCTTGCAAAGGAAAGAGTTGGGTTTGCTCCAGCTGCTTGTAGCTAATTAGCTTGATAACAATATATGGTGATTACAAGTACTTAAATTTACCAGGAGAGTTTAAATATAATGGAGTAATTAGACAATATAGTAGGTAATTAAGAGTGTGGAGCTGCATAAGAAAATAAGTTTGTAAGATGTGGAGAAATGATAATCCCACATGTAATTGAAGACAATTGCAGAAAATAAGTATGAATCAAACTTGAAAATTATCCCAAAGAGTGGATACATTTTATTACTGATAATCATACATTTCGAAATAATAAAATTCAGAGAAGCTGATTGAGATGATTTGATGGGTAGCTAATTAGCTATATATTTGAGCAACCGCGTCCGAATGCCATATTTTTATTACTGATATCGAAGAAAATATTTAGAGCCCTGTGTTGTTTATTACCAATAATGATCAAGTCATCTTCCTTGACATTTCTTGCAAAAGCCAAGCAAACCTGAGAATCATTTTTGTCTCTGAATGTAACAGCAGATGGCTCCAAAGGCACATTCAAACCTTCAAATTGCAGCACCATGTTTGGTGGTGTCCAATTAGTATGGCCAACGAGATTATAGCATATATCCAACAATGGAGGAGATCGAGGAGCTCTTGGGTACTGTGACATCAACCCCTGAAATGCAGAGCTAAGACTCGAATATAGAGAAGGTGGTAGGCGTGTGATTACAGTTCCCGAGTCTATAACGGCGTTCAAAGATGAAGACATAGGTAACCTTTGTTGGCCAATTGTTATGGCAGTGAGTTTTACAGAGTAACTAGTAAGTGTAGATTTGTCAGTTGGGGCAGGTCCTATTGGTATCATTTTATTCTCGTCAGGTTGGCAAGTTTCATAGGCTTGGACTCCAAACACAATATACCCAGTAGAGCTTTCGGTTGCTGGAAGACAGTAGCAAAACAAACTAAAATAGCTTGTATCAGTTTGCGCCATTAAAGAGAACTGTCCTGGCCCAACTCCTAGTAACCCATTTGCCCCACCAAAATTTCCTTTAATTTCCTGAGCACAGCCAAAAACGAAGTTAGGATATGGATTTGATGTTATAGTGAGAGTGTCATTTGCATAATACCCAGTTGAATAGGTTCCATCGGCATAATCCGCTCTGTAGTTGCAAGGATTGCAAGAAACATTTGAAGAAGTAGAAGATGAAGAAGGGTCAAAAAATGGGACTTGGTTATTATTGCAATTAATCCAAGTTTTATCACTTCCTGTGTCAAAAATTAAGGTAAAATCAATTTTAGGAGTGCCAAAACCTACTGTCGTCAAAAAGTTGTCATCTCCTTTTAAAGTTAGAGGCAAACGGATCCCTTCCCCATATTTATTTACCACTTCAATGGATTTCAATGAACGAAATCTATAGTTGTCTTGCAGAAGAATTTTTTGAGAATTGGGTTCTGATTTCTCTTGGCAGTTCAGACCTTGACATTGCCCTTTGGAACCTGCAAAACATACAATTGATGAGTGATATATAATATCAATAGCACCTACTACTACGCTTACACTATATTTTGGTGTATATTGACGAATGAAGATGAATTGAACCTCTTATATATAAATATAGTAAGCCTATTTTTTTTTTTTTGGAAAATTAAATATTAAACTTCATTTTGATTCGTAAATGTATAACTTCTGAAACAATTTATATATTATTGAATCAAATTTTACCCGGGATTAAACTTGTGTTCTTAACCTTTACAGGGTTATTACCACCCAACCAATACATTGTTGGTTGCAATCTTATAACTCTAAACATAACTGCATTATTAAATGAAAATTTATAGGTTCTTATAAATGGCTAGAGAAGATTCCAACAACAGCTAAAGACTAACTTGCTCTACTTGCACAAACATAATATTGTTTTAGAAGCACAAGTAAGCGTTAGCAACAAATATACAGGAAGTAGAAAGAGTGCAAGATCTAGAGAAGAGAAGTGACCTTTATTTGTAGAAGTCAAGGAAGCGGATACAGGCAAGAGAGACTTCATTTGATGGTTTGCTCCATAAACACTGAACTTATCCAAATAACAAGAAGAAAATAGGATAGAATAGAAGAGAAGGTGGAAGGTGGCCATTGATAGATAAGAATCAGCCATAGAAATAACAAATTAGAGAGGAATCACTAGATATTTCAGAGAAAGTTTCAGTGATCATCAATTTTATATTTAGTGTGATGAGAAGTGTCCAAAGACTTTGACCTAACACAATAACGTGAATGGTGGAAGTCTCTAAACGGTCCCCCAATTTCTCTAGCTATTTTCAATCAAACCTTGAGATGTTGAAAACCAGGCCAAGTCTTCAATTGCTTGGATGAGAGATTGGTCTTTGCCGTGTTACACAGGCAGCTCTATCTTAGCGAATGGAAGTTTCAAAGTTCGAATTCTCGATCACTAAGTATAGTCATTAATTTTGTAAATTAAGAGAAGGACTGCCTCTCTCGAAAGTTTTATTTTTGTCTGTTAAGCCTTAAAAAAAAAAAAAAAGCAACCCAATCTCAAATGTTAGAATGGGCACCTATTAGCCAACGGTTCTTTCTTGGACTTTTCTTGTTCGGGCATTTTGGTATCGAGGATTAGCAAACAACCCAAACTAGTAATAGCTTAGGTCCAGAGCCCATGTAAAGCCCATCTATATCACATTCGCAAGCAATGGGCCAATGGCAATGTTTTTCTTCCTTCTATTAACCAAACGAATTCATGTACCTATATACACGAGAAAAAGAAAATGGAAATGTGAAATTTTATGTACCAGAGAAAAATAATATAATCAACCCAAAAGTTAATTAATTGGAAATGCTTAGGGTTAGGTGAAGACTGAAGACAATGGATTTGAATATTTCCCTTTTCAATTATTAATTAGAAAATGTCTATATGCTTATTTAAAGAGCAAAGATGAGGGAATGCATGTGTGCATTAAACTTTTAGTTAGTCAAAGATTGTTAGCTGAACAAAGGATGAAAAGAAGATCAATAATAGGTTCCACATTAATCCAAATGCTAAGGTTAGATTATCAGTACCAAAACTTGAATTTGTCTTCCTTTCTACGGACTGACTTTATAGAAATCAAATCAATTAGAGACCACAAAGATTTTCCATAACTTTTTATGTTAAAGAGGCTAATTAACCATTCTCATAGACCTTTGTTTCAAAACATGGGGCATGTTAATTATGTGTGATTATAAAATTTCATGAAGTTGAGCTGCTAATTCATCTTTTTGAGAACATTATTGGATAAAAAGTAAGAATTAATTATAGATATAGGATCTCTTCAAATCACTTTGCCAGAATGTGTCATATCAACCTAATTAAATATTAAACACCTGATTTGCACACCTTGTATTACCAAATTCATTAACTTTAATAAAGATATAATTAATAATGAGATTTGAAAAAAAGAAAGCAGGGAAATCTTTATTTTTAGTATTTTGTTGATTATACATGCAACCTTTGTAAAAAAAAAGTCTAACGAGTGTTTGGTCAGTACAGTAAGTCTAAAATAGACCTTAAACCAAATAATGTTCCATTCAAACAATGGATGGCATCAAGAATTTTTATCCATGAATTAGCACCATGGCCAGCTTAAAGAAACAGAGAATTCATTATCTTGTACATGTTTGTTTGCTTTTATGAAATAAATTAATGAAGAATCATACGATTCTAGAATTAGTTGATCCATCCAGTGATTGTATAACCAAAATCCATCTCAGAATAGCAGGACATGGATAATCAAGGAACATGTAGGGCCAAATCATATAGATTTCAATTACCTTTCACACATTTATCATTAAAGAAGATTAGAACCCAGGCACCAAAATCTCCACAGTAATTGTCCCCACCAACAAACATTCACCGCCACCCACCAAAAATCTCAGTTCAGTAAAGTGACTCTTAACTGTATAGACAAGAATAAGCAAACCTGCTAAAAGAACCCAGTCATTTTTATCTTTTCTCCTCACTCTCCCTTCCTGCCATTTTCTGCTCCATTGGCACCCCTCTTCAAAACCCAACACGAAGGGCACGAATTTCTAAGAAGAAAACTCCTTTCCCGAAGCTATAAAGCTGAAAAACTATGGCGGAGAATAAAGGTTAATATCGTTATTATGCTTATTTGTCACCGTTTTTATTATCTACAACCATCAATCCCTATAAAAAAGGGACTCCAACTCATAAAATAGAGGATAACAAGAGCCTTTCAAATTAAACTAAAATAAAAATAAAAATGGGGTAAATGAGGAGAAAAATTAAATAGCATTCTTTCACATTTTTAATAATCAGTCTTCGTCGGCGTCTTCGTCGCCGGATTCATGATTGTTAACCTTGGCTAAACTTATTCCACGCGCCACCGTCGGTGTCGGAGCGTCAACGACTGTCGCCGATGACATCTCCATCTGGCAAACTCTAATTGCACCGATTAATTTCTCAGGCAACTCATCCTCTGCCTGTGCCTCCACCACAAATCCCATATCAATAGTCACGTTGGTCACATATCCCAATGCGAGGTGTAAAATAGCGGTGGCGATCTTCGAGCTCGCTATATCCACATCAATCTCCAAATAATTGGCACCTCTATGATAATTACAGGTTAAAGCTTTACCTAATAAGCAAGCACTATAGTTCCCTACCGTTTTCTTCACGATCCACGGACCTTTCACAATGCGATTCACAATCTTAAACCGCTGGTTCCTAAACGCGTCATCCCCGTTGATAAACCGATACAACAGTGAACCGGGAGGGATAGGATCTTCACTGACAAAGTAAAACACCGCACTGTGTTGTTCCTTACCTGGAACTTGCAGGTTAACAGCGAAAATAAAACTTTTCATAGATTTTCCTTGAGACTGAACCTTTTTGAGCGCGAGGGACACACGGTTGTCGGGTCGGGCTAGTACGTTGTCGAGTTTGGTACAGGACTTGAGCCAGTCCATGCCGGCAGGAGATAGTAAGTAATCGCCGGAAGGCGATTTCTGTCGTTTAGTGAAGTAGTTTTTAGACCGCAAAGAGAAAAGGTCACCTGGAGGTGACGCCCAGCCGTTGGCTCCATTATCGAGGTCCACTCGCCGCAAGGATCCGCCATCGGTTGCCTCGGAGATCCAACCAGTGGTTGCAGTAGCAGTGGTGGCGTTGGAAGAGGATCTGGAACCAGTACAATCGGAGCCGGAACAGCGGTGTTTTTCCTTGGTCGGGCACATGATTTTTCTTTTCTTCTCTGTATCTATCTATGATCTATTTTCTGTCTTCTCTCTGCAACTCGCTTTGGGATTCTCCGTATATGAGTGTGAGGCTTGAAGTGGGCTAATAGCAGAAGGAGCAAGAGTGCCCCTATGTTTCTAGGAAACTACCAAAGAGCCCTAGATTATCTGTGCCAGCTATTTTTGATTTTTTTTTTTTTTCCCTTCTAAGTTTGTTTTTATAATAGTAATCCATTGATTTATTGATAAATACTCGTGGTAATTACAATTAATAATTGCATTAACGATAATTGTATGTAAGTCAACTTACTACCGATCAATTACAGGCTGCTGACGCTATTCACGTGCAACATTTATTGCATTTTTTTCACCATCTAATGAGCAAAAATCACCAAAATTCATTAAACATAAGAATTTTCTTTTCCTTAAATTTAGTCTTTTATTTTTCCACCCTCAAGATTTTTCTAACTAACTTTAATTAAAATAATTTCGTTACACGTTTTTTTTTTTTTGGGATGATTAAATTATTTTTCATATAATCATCCTCCATTGTGAAAATAAATGAATATAGTAAATTTAAATTATAAGAATAGTTCGTGTATAAATTTTAAAATTATTACAAGCTATTCATTTTTATTAGGATACCTTATGTGATTTAAAATTTTAGCACCGAACTATTTGAAATTTGAATTGTATTATCAATTCTAATTAGGCAATCAAGTTGTTTTGAATCAAAATTAAAGTATATTGACTCAGATTTTAGTGAATCAAAATAAGTGGTGCATGAGTAAGATTTGTTAGTTGCTAGAACTAATTAGAAACCGGTCAATTTCAATTCATTAAATAAAAATTACGAATAAATAAATTTGAATATGATATTTGGATATGTTTAGGTACAGAGTGTTTATATATATACATATATATATATATATAGTTACAATTTTATGAAATTAATGAGTTTCCAAATTTATTAGGATTCTAATTAGTAGAGATTTATTACTATATAAATAAAAAAATACTCTTTTTATTAAGTACATTTCAAATTAAAAATTAACACTCTTAAATTTTTCTAAATTTGTAAATTAAGATTCGCAATGACTATCAATTTCATGGTTAATAAAAATTAATTAATAATATTTTGACATGCTATGACTAAATTAATTCATTCAAGGCAAAATTATAATTCCTTAATAATTGCTTATTAATAATTATTTTAAAGTTGATTTTTTCCCATAACCAAGAATTTATGAGTTAACTAATTTTTCTATTTGAGAGAAATTTAAATTATCAGTTTCACCTAATTTTAAAATTTTTAGTGTCCCATGCTATTTCATGTTTTAAGGATGATTTCTCTTGTATAGCATATGATTATTGAACAATTTGTACAAATAAACAATAATATATATATAATTATATATACTCACAGCACAAAAGGAGTAAATGGTAATCATGAGTTGTCATTAGCCACTTTAGTCTTTAGTCCCTAAGCTTTTCTTTATTCTCTCTATTTTATAATTTTCCCCTTTGATCAACTTTACGCTTATAAATGGTAATCATGTAATTCTATGAAAACGGTAGGGAGTTTTATGCCATTGTCTACAAGGTAACGAAAAATGGGTCTTCACTGATGACGACGATAAGGATAGCGACACGTGGTAGAACATTGACACTAAAGACAATAAGACATTAATGATGCGAGGGAACTTATAAAAGTCAATTGAAATTTGACATGCACAGGTCACCATGGGGCTTCGTGTCTCTACACATGGAATTATGCGTCACAGCTCGTCCGTAACAACTCATAACGGCTAAGGATTAAAGACAAATACTAATAATTAAATACTACAAAAAAAAATATTTTTCCACGAGGTAAAAAAATATAAATGGATTGCGAATCAACTCGTAGCCTAATTGGTGTGTGTAGATTGAATTAAACCAAAGGGAAAAGATTCTTATTTGGACCAACCGTGCAACAATTATATATTATTGTTAAATTTTTATTTATTATCTTTAAATAGAATAGTAATCATATCCTTTCCCATTGTACATAATACAGCTAATCAACGTTAGAAAATAACAAAACCGCAGGCTTTATTAGGAGGGGAGATTTACTTTTCCGTATGCAATTCTCAATAAGCATACGTGGTTTCTGTTTTGTGACAATTATTAAATTTAATGGTTGATATATGTTTTTGGAAATTCCACTTTCGGTTTAATTAAAATGCAATTCTTTAGCCACCCAATCCGTCACACCGTCTAAGGTCCAATTTTTTAAATATCACACGCATAGTCATACGATATACCATGCAAATGTTGAATATTGCGTAATGGGTAGGAGCACTCAAAACGTTTGATCAAAAAGCATAGTCACATAGTCAATTATTTCCTAAGGAGTCAAATTAGTCTAATGTACATAAAATTAAAATCATGTCTAATCCGTTTGATTTTCACTTTTTTAATAAAGGAATGAGAGGTCTTGAATTGTTTAAATTTTAGTTGAGCACTCTCGACAGTTTGAGTTTTTATGAATTTAGTTAATAAGGAGATGACTATATTATTATATAGTCGACAATATTATTTCAGCCCATTAACTTCCTATAAATAATAAAACATCATAGTCAATTAAAATGGATTTTGATAGCTTCGTCAATTAAATATAAGCCCGTCTAAGAGTATGTACATAACAAGTTGGACCTTCTATAACTGGCTTTCAATCCAATCCAAACCAGCCCAGTCCAAGCCCAAGCCCAACTCAAACCTTCAAGGGAAAGTTTGTTCAGAGCTGCCGAATGCCAATCCTCTGCTTGTGCATTGAGTGAATCAGCAAACTCAATTTTTTATTGTCCCGAAGATGCCAAGTAAACCAAACGTGGCGCTTCTCTGATTATCAAGCAAATTACACTGCTCTACCGGCTAAAACAAAGCTTCATTAACCGCTACAAGTCGCTTATGCATTTCTTCAAACACTTAATTTGCAGAGTTGGTCTTGGATCCCTGATGAGCCATTTTCTCCCATTCGTTTTATGAGATCTTACAACGGCAAATGAAGAATGTTTCTAGGAGTCTCAAGCGTCACTGCAGTGGGACTCTTCTCTCCAAGAGTGCTTTTCTTATTCTCGATCATCACTTGAATTTGGTTCTAACTTATGTGAATTTAGCTTTGTTCCTCAAAGCAACGGAAATGTTTCTTTTCATTTTGATTTTTCTTAAAAATTTTGATTCAATTAAATCCTAAATCCCGAATTCACCATGTTAATGTCTAATATGTTTCTGTATATTTGGTTGTGCTGCTAATAATGTTGTATTTGTTTACGGTCCAGTGACAGTGTTTTGTTTGCAGCTTTATTTCACGATGACAATGTTTTGAAGATTTTGAGGACCTGTGCGTATCTGGGTCAGAAAGACATTGAAATCACAAGAAGACGAGAGAATCTGATTCTGCATCACTTCTTGCATATAAGGTTGTAAGTGCAGTAGCAATCTTAAATGTTAGAAAATACTTAGAGTTGCATTTGGTGCTGGACACAACAGTACTTCATTATCATTCTGGAAGTTTTAGACATTTCCATAATTATTGTGTTTAAGCTTAGGGATTTGGTGCAGACTCTCTACATCTTTTACCAGTGTGCATGGTGGAAGGCCGTCCGCAGAGTATGCGAAGTTGAGGAAGGAATCACTTGAAAGTGAATTTGGGCAAGCTCTTGGTATTTATAGTTCCAACAAAGCATCCATCATCTACCGATTTGGTCCATTTTTGGCTTTTTATAGAGCAGCGATCATTTCTTTTCATGTTTTGAAGTTAACCCTCTGGCAAATTTTTGTTCGAGACACAAAAAGACGTGCAATCAAGGTATAATATGCTTTGGTGCTTGAAATACACTTTAGGATATCTGTTTCTTGTTGTGTTGATGAATATGTAATGTTCCAGAAATTGACAGCAACTGTTTACACAATTTCTTGCAGTTTCGGCAAACTCTGATCAGCTTGGGGCCTTTCTACATCAAGGCAAGTAAAACTTTACCGAACCTTATAGAATCAATTTACGCTGTTTTCCTAAATATTGTGAAATTTTGTAGTGGATTTTATCAGGATAGTCATCTGTTTCTATCATTCTCCTTGGGTTCTGCCAAAAACTTTTATTGCTAGCATATGTTGACAGTGATGCTATGGAAATCCCATGAGAAAAATTGATGTGTGTTAAGCAATGATGTGTTCTTCAAGGTTTTTAATTTTTATGTTGATGTGACATTTCGTATTTGCTTTAAGTTGTTTGGTGACCTCCATCTAATTGGTGCAATAGAAGCTGAGAGATGGTGCAAAGAATGGAATGAGGATTAATAACTTTTGGAGCTCTGAAGTTTAGTATAATTAGTATAATTAATTATTCGTATAATTAATATTATTCTGGATCCTTAATTAGTATAATTGAAGAATTATGCTCCAGAATGTTCTCAATTGGGTAGAAATTTTAAATCTATAATTAAGCCCTCAGTTGCTTTCTGACATTACATTTGTATTCTCATTCCTGTTTAAATTTACAGCTTGGACAGGCTCTGAGCACTAGACCAGATATATTGCCGACTGTATATTGTCAAGAGCTTGCCAAGTTACAGGTATGACAGCTTTTCCTTCTTTCCACAAGACTCTTCAGTAATGGGTCATATGATCTGATTTTGGATTTTCCCATCAGTTGGATACTTAGCAATTTTCCTTTATTTTTATCATTTTCTCAGTTTAAGCTATTCTCTTATTGCTAGGACCAAATACCACCATTTCCAACCCATATTGCAATTAAATCTATTGAATCCCAGTTGGGTGTTCCAGTTTCGCAACTTTTTTCTGACATCAGTCCAGAGCCAATTGCTGCAGCATCCCTGGGGCAGGTGTATAAAGGTTTGATGCTCTCTTCTGATATATTGATGCTACATGTCCTTATTTTAACTTATCTTTATATATTTCTTCATCCACTATATATCTTGTTCCGGTTGGATTTATTTGTTTCTTCAAACTATTAATGGATGGGTGTTGTAGGTTGTTTTGTTTTGCAAGTAACACAATTTTAATGTTGTACTTGTTACTTCAAGTATTGCAGCTCATCTGCATTCCGGTGAGCTTGTAGCTGTAAAGGTGCAGAGGCCAGGTATGTCAACTTTGTTGACCCTTGACGCATTATTGTTTCATATGATTGGTGGCCAATTAAAGCGATTTGCCAAGGCTCGCAAGGATCTATTAGTAGCGGTAAATGAGATGGTGAGCTTTCCATAACTTCTGTGCATACATTCCTTGCCTGTGTTTCTAATTATGTTTTGTAAAGCATGCTGGAGTATTCAATTAAGTACCATGTGCCATGAATGCTTTCAGTACTCTTTGATCTTTTCTAGGTTTTTTCACTTTGGCTTTGAATTCACTAAGCTGATTTTATTGGATAGATATCTATGTGAAAATAATAATGATCATTAGCTTCTTGAAACCTTTCATTTGGAAGGCCAGTATGGGAAATCATGACACTTCATGCAAATTCGATGAATGCTAAGGTACTTGGTCATGTTGATGGACACAGGCCTATGTCCTATTTCAAGTTCCGCAGTAAGTCAAGTGCTGGGAAATGTAGTTCGATTCCTAACTTCTCTTTTTCCTACTAGCCTGGGGATAATATATTGTGTTTATTTTGGTTGAAGATGTTCCGTGTAAAATTTAGATTACTAGCATTTTATAACTTTCTAGATGGTTATAATACTAATGACGTTAATATGTTATTTTGCTATCTAAGGGAGACAAAGGGGCGCAAAGAGCAGCCGTCTTGTCACTGTCTTATGCATGCAAATAGACACACGTGCACAAACAAATGCACGCACATTTGCTACTGCTCAGATGCACATATAAACATGTGGAATTTGCTTTTGAATTTTATTTAGTGCGATTTATTTCCTTAGTTCTTTCTTTCTCTCTTATTGTGATGCATACAATCCTTTTTAATGAGATTGTACATGCTTATGGACATCTTCAGGTCTATCTTAAATGAACAGGTGAGGCACATGTTTGATGAAATTGATTATGTCCTAGAGGGGAAAAATGCTGAACACTTTGCTTCTCTATATGGTTGTGACCCATGTACGTTTTTCCATGCTTTATCACTAGTGCATGTAAAATCATTATGATCCTACTTGCTAGGTATGTAACTTGGATCCTACATTGAAAATATGAGATTTCAATATTAGTATTCATATGGGCTTTGGGCTCTCCAATCTCATGAGCTATCTTTTGGATTGTGGTTATCCCAAGGTTCATAACAATATATAATTATTTGTTTGGTAATGCATTTAACAGTCTTCAGTATTCTTGTTCGGAATATCCAACTAATATATGAGATTATCGATGTACATGGGTTGCTAAATTGTCAAGGCGTCTGATGTAGTCGATGAAAAATTAGATTTAGGCATTATTTTGAGTATAATGATTGAGATTGGTACAATCTGCTTGCATACATCAGGTAATGATACAAAGAATGATCAAAATGCCAGAGTTAGTAATACCATGGACCATAAGAAATCAAATTGCGTTAAAGTTCCTAAAATATATTGGGACACCACATGTAAGGGTGTACTTACAATGGAATGGATAGATGGAATCAAACTTACTGATGAAGTGCGATTGAGGAAGGCCAGTTTGAACAGATGGAAACTGATTGACCAGGTATTGGGCTTTGTTTGCAGTCAATTCATTATGATCTTTTGTATGTGTTTTCACTTTCAGTCACGTCTTTAAGCAATCATGTCCAAAGCATTATGGCTTTGTGTAGTGAACTAGTAACCATTTTGTTGGCTTATAGGGATTATACTGCTCTTTGAGGCAATTGCTTGAGGTGGGATTTTTCCATGCTGATCCACATCCAGGAAACCTTGTTGCTACTGACAGTGGCATTCTTGCATATTTTGACTTTGGAATGATGGGGGATATTCCTCACCATTATCGCGTGGGACTCATTCAAATGGTAATAGCTGTTTGGTTGATAATATGCCAAGTGCACCTCTCCTTCCCCCTTTCTCTCTCTATCTCTTTTTCCTTTTTGTGTATAGTTTTGTGTAAATGCTTGAGAAAAGACTATTGGCAGCGTGTATAACTTTCCATTAGTGTTGAATTGTTTTCTACTCCCTGTGAATGCTTGGGGCACATATTCCCAAGAAGAAGTCTGTGATGTACTGCTGTTTATTTCTGATGAATAGATATCTTTAACATACCTGGCTACATTCTGACATCTTTGTATCAATTAGTAAGTGGCTTGCATGTTATTTATTATTGTTACATGATCCACTGTGACCTAATATTATATTATTGAACCTGTCCACAGAAGTGTGTGCATATAAACTCTATGGAGATTGCAGTGGTTCTTGTTCATTGCAATGTGGATTTCCTGTTTTGGGTTTATATTCCTCATTCTCTCACTTAAAATCATGTTTATTGAGTAATTGGTTCCTGTAAACTTGGCGTATTTTAATTATTTGTTGATGTTAGAAAAATGCTTCGAATGGTACATTCTAATAATTCATGGGCATCTTTTCCCATATCTCTTTCAACAAGTTCACACACCTACACACTCAAACATAATCTCTATATCATTTCTTTCCAAGTTGTTACGATACAGAAAACCTTGCATCTGGCCATAAATAGAAAGGTAGTCTCTTTTCTCCATGATGATGATAATAGTGATGACAGTTTGTTTCAATGAATTCCACTTGACAGCTGGGATTTTGTATTTGTTGATAAGTTTGTACTTCTTTCAGCTTGTGCACTTTGTTAACCGTGACTCTCTGGGTTTGGCAAATGATTTTCTTTCTTTGGGATTTATTCCTGAAGGGGTTGACATCCAATCAGTTTCGGATGCATTGCAAGCATCCTTTGGTGATGAAACAAGACAATCTCGAGATTTTGAGGTTTGCACTAGTATTCTTTGATCTTATGTTTCATTTTATTTTGCGTCTCTTTTATTTTATTTTATTTTTTGCTGATTTATGTTCAGTGTTTTTGTGAACTTCCCTTTGTTAATCATCATGAAGGTGAAGATTGCATTGGCATGCCAAAGTTGTTCCACCTGTGTTCTTAGCATAAAAATGATAATAGTAAAACATATGAATTAAAAATCTAGATCTAAGGTGTTATAGACTCAATGTTCAATGGAGATAATGAATACAAATACAGAAGCCAGGCGGCTATAGATGGGAAAGTTGAGATATGTTGGCTGTTTAAGTGAGGAGCATATCTTATTCTTGTGAAATTTTTGCTACCAGCATAATTTGAAACTTAGGAATCAAATTAGTGTACATAAACATATATGCAGTGGATTTCATTATGAGACTGAAGTGGCCCACCCACCTCCTCCTGGCCTTGTTTTTAACTGTGTATTCATTTATTATCTACATTGATATGGATGGCTCTTGACATCTAAATAATAAGCATGATGGCCAATGGATTTTCATGGATCTGCTAAGTGTTCTGATTTTTGTTTCTTCTTTAAATTTTCTTTACAATTACAAGCAAAGCAACATCTTTGACTGCTTTTCTTTCCTTTTCAGGCAATAATGAACCAACTATATGATGTTATGTATGAATTTGACTTCTCCCTTCCCCCTGACTATGCATTGGTGATACGAGCACTTGGATCACTTGAAGGCACAGCAAAAGTTCTGGACCCTAATTTTAAAGTTGTTGAGAGTGCATATCCTTTTGTCATTGGAAGACTTTTGGCAGATCCACATCCTGATATGAGAAGAATTTTGAGGGAACTTCTCATCCGTAATGATGGATCTGTAAGATGGAATCGCTTAGAGCGCTTGGTAGGTCAATCTAGTTTTCATGAATTTGGTTATCTTTCTCAATCTAATTGTTAAGGATTTGGTTCTCTTTTTCACAATCTGGTTTCTGCTTTAAACAAAAGAGTTTTTGCTGCTTTACAAGGATATGATTATGTTTTCTGTTTTTCCAGCTTTTGATATATTTGTTTTAAACGGTGTGGGTCGAGAGTTTGGGGGCATATCCTGTTTGTCATTGGAGACTTTTTGCAGCATCCACATCCTGATATAGAGAGAAGTTTATTGAGGGGGAACTTTCTCATTCCGTAATTTGATGAATTATCTGTAAGACAGATGGAATTCGGCTTAGAGCGCATTGTATAGGTTTCAACTAGTTTTCATGCATTTGGTTTATCTTTCTCAATCTATTTTAGGTTAAGGATTTTTGGGTTCTCTTTTTCAACAATCTGGACGTTTACCTGCTCTTTCTTTTTTTAAAACAAAACCGGAGTTTTTCCGCTGGCGCCATAGCGCTTTTACAAGGATATGATTATGTTTTCTGTTTTTCCAAGCATTTTGATATGATATATATATATATATACTATAATATAATATAATATAATATATATATTCACTTGCTCAGAGTTAAACTCGCTTTTAGGACTTTTTGATGGTGTATACTAAAAATAGTTCTTCTTGAATTAACCTGTCTCTACAGAATGAAATTGTCTGCGTCAAATTTTTCAAAATGACCCTGACTGGGGAAGAATTTCAAGCATAATGAGCTTCTCGGGTTCCCAACGATATTGTTCGATGATTGTGATAATCCTTGAGCTTCTCTCTAGTTCTTTTCTCTGTAGTGGCCACTTGGGCCAAGTTTGTTTATTCCCCATTACTGTTCAATGTAGTGACCTGAATCTATATATTCATGCTCCAGTTAAGCTTTAGACTTTTGATGGTGTATGTTCTTTGAATTAGCTCTACAGAAATGAACTTGTCTGGTCAATTTTTCAAATGGACCCTGACCTGAGAAAGAATTTCAAGCATAATGAGCTGGTCCCAGATATTGTGATGATTGTGATAATCCTTAGCTTCTCTCTGGTCTTTTCTCTGTAGTGGCACTTGGCAATTGTTTTTCCCCATTATGTTCAATGTATGACCTGAATCTCCATGCTGTCAGTATAAATTACTTTTGTGCTTACTGTTACTCAGTTTCTAATCTTTGCCCATGATTATTGCAGTCTGGTACTCAAAATTTGGCAGATTCCTAGGGCTAATTCATTTAAATAAAGATAATACTGAGGCCCTACCTTATTCCATTCTATAACAACAATGATGCCTTATATGGTTGAACATATTACTGAGTTTGTTATAGTATGGATTTTGATAATTCAGTAGTCATTCCTCTCTTTTTCCAGGTAGCAGCAATATCTGAACAGGCTTCAGAGTCAACGGGAGAGGCTGCTAAGTCTGAAGAAAATCCTTCAGACACTCTAGAATGGAAATCTTTTGATATCCGTGCTGTTGTTAGTGCCACAGAAGATCTTTTGCTCTTCATTCTATCTGAGAAGGGTAGCAGGGTGCGTGTTTTCCTTGTACGGGATATAATTAAGGTGGCTGATGTCTTTTTACGAGATAAAATCGTTGGTTGCATTTTAGACCAGAAACGTGAAGGAAACGAGGCATCTAAGTCTGAGGTTTGTCTAAATTTCCTTTATTGCAATTGGAGACCTTCAAATTTGCTCAAGCACAGACGGCTGATTTTCTAAATTCTACAAGCTTTTACTCCGGACATCCATAGTAATTCATTGTTGAATTTTTAAAATGATATGAAAATGTGGTTTGCTCTGGTGTCAGTAAATACTTCTGAATGCCAAATGTCTTTTGTTGGTCAGTTGTGATTATCGAGTAATTAACAGATTTTTTTTCATAAAAACTAGCTTCAAATAAATCCTCATCTTTTCCCAGATTGCACAAACAAGAGCTTAGGGAAATATATAAAAGTAAATCATAAGATTACAAAGCAAGATCAAGCAATACCATGTTGATCTGACATTTGTGATATTTTGTTATTTGTTTTTCTTTCTACCCATGATATTGCAGGGCCATTCAACATTCATGAGGGTAGTTAATGGGTTTCAATATCTACGTCAAGCGGTAAAGTTAGCCCCAGAGTTGTGGACTGCAATGCTTATACGCATGGCACTGAAGCCTGAATTTCATAGTTTTATTCTTGATATTATGTCAGCCTTGGTAGTTCATTTTAACCATAAAGTTCCAGAGACTTCTTGGGTTTTCATGTCTAGACTTCTGCATAAGTTGGTGAGAAACGATAGATTGGATGATCTATGAAGGACTGATTCTTCATTAACAAGTATTAAATATATGACACAGGCAAAAGCAATTCAATCCTTATTTATGATTATATGTTATCAGTTTTTCTGACAATGCATGTGCCTGATTGTGAAGTTGAAGCCTTTATACTCCTGGGTTCGTTAGGTGTTGGTTATGGTTTAAAGTCAAGAAGAGCTTGGTGTTGAAAATGAAGCTTGGTCAGGTATTCAAACTCCTTTCTCCATCGGCGGAAAAAGTGGAGAAAGTAATTAATCAGACAGGTGGAAGCAATTCTTATGATGTGTCCCATTCACACAATGAAATTCCCTCCCCGCAAGGGAACAAATTTTTGCAGAATTAAAAAAGAAAATATATGGTTTGAAAAATTTTTATCACCTTGAATTTTTTGAACAGAGGAGACAAGTATTAAGAATGTGGTTTTTATTTTAGTACGACAATCACATGTGGGTGAGACCATGATATCTTTCGAATGGATGATACTATATCCGTCTCTATTCATTTGGATTTAACAATATGAAATATCTCAAATTAATAACTAAATCAATGAAGAAATAGAGACCTGAATAGTTTTATGTATAATCTCAAACTCACAAAAGCGGTTTTGACCCAAAACGCTAGTGTTTTTATTCTGTGGTCTATTTCTCAGCTCATTGTAAGTAAAAGTTATTAAAAATTGTTTTAAAATAAATTTTATATAATACTTTATCTTATTTGTAATTATAATAAATAGTATCCCTTAAAAGATTCGTGAATAAAAATAATAAAAAAAAAGACAAAACAGAAATAAAGAGGCATAAATTACTTGATTGATCGATATGGAAAGCAAGTATTTACCGTTAAATGCAAGAGAATTTGTGTTTATCTTAAATTTAATTTTCCAATTAAGCCTAATTAATTAATAATTTATATTAACAAAAGGAATAAAGTCAACATTGACTAGATTACAAGAGCTCGCAACTACTCTAACAGCAAATTCCGATATCCATCCAAAAGGAAATTTACCCTGTATAACACTAGACAATGATGATCATAACTGTCATCTGCATGTTTGCCACGTGTATGAATCATTCGCAATAAAAGACGAACGATTCACATAAGCTATTTTGAATTTGACTCGGTCCTATCATAAGCTTGCCTCACGCAACTGCAACGCGTAAGACTCCCATTTTAAGCATGAATAACAAATCACACCTTATTTTAATAATGTAACTAAATATATATATATTAACAAATTCCAATTTTAATTTTAAAGATTATTATTCTTATTTTTTAATTTTGAAAATTGATCTGGTTGTGTTCTTGACTCTAACAAACCCAAACCAAAATCGAAACGAAACAGAAATCGCCTCTGTTTTCTCCTTCTCTCCTCTCTCTATAAACTTGAGCTCTCTAATTACTCTCATTTTTCTCGTCTTTTTCCCCCCCTTTAACGCTTTTTAAGCCCTCTGCCTCTTATGGCATTTTCTTTATCCTTCTTTCCTTTAGGTGCTCTCTTCTCTCTCTCTCTCTCTCTCTCTCTCTCTCTCTCTCTCCTTGTTTTGTAATTATCAATTAATGAATTTACTTTATACTGTATTTTCCAATCTTAATTCGTTCATGAACATATAAGATTTGAGGATTTTCAGTTTAGTTTTTGGATTGAACATGTTGATCGGTTTTATAACTCTAAGATCGATCTATACATTAGCTTCTTTTTTCTTTTTTTGGTTTGCTGAAGGTTCTAATTGTTTTTTCTTTGTTTATTTGCAGGTTGAGCTCGAGAATTCCTGAATTAGAAATATATTTATATCATAAATGTCAACTGCATAAGGCATAAAATCTTGTACACTAAAAACCAAAAACTGTTGTTGTTGTTGTTGTTTTCTAATTTTAATCAAAGAGATAAGAGGTATTCTAGCTGAAATTTCAAGCAAGAATATGGGCTACCTCAATTCAGTCCTGTCATCTTCAAACCAGGTTTATGCTGATGATGCACCTGTGAGTGGTGGTGGTCTGAGGTAAAAACATTTTAATGTCTGGTTAATAACTATTACTCCATGGTTAGATCTAGAAATGTTTTGGTTTGACTCTTTGGTTAATTTTTTTCGCAAAACTTGATATTCGTTTGTTTAATTATGTGTAACTGTAATGCTTTGGCTTGCTTGTTGATTATAATTGATGTTGTGTCCAATTTTGTGACTTTTGGTCAAATCATTATATTATTTACTTGCTTTCATTGATATTGCATCAGTAGTGTCAAGATCATTCTTAATCGGTTGTGGTTTGTTAAGTTTATTGGGTCAATATATTTTTTTTGGAAAGAATTCATCCTAATATGGGTTTATTTTAAATTTAAACCGACATCAATTAATGATTATGTCACTTGGTTATTCACTAGGATTAGAAATTCTTAAATTGATGATTGTATGAGTGGGATTGTTTTGTTGCTGGGAACCATATAAGATAATGAAAGGAATAGTAGAGAAGAAGAATTTGATTGACAGTATGCAGTAGGATGAATACCTGTGTTTTTGGTTCTTTTCCAAATTAAGTGCCTGAAATTTTTATGAATATGAAGGTAAAACTTGATATAGTTATAATTTCTGAAAGGATCTATGTTATTATGATGTCCATATGCAGTAGGATGATTGTGTTTTTGGTTCTTTTGCAAATTAAGTGGCTGAAATTTGTATGAATATGAAGCCAAACTTAATATGAATTACTGACAGTATGTACGTCTTTATGAGATTCTGTTGCTATTGTCGGTTCCACGGCAACTTATCCCGTACGGGATATCTCTTGTCTGTCGTTTTCTGTATTTAATGGTCAAAAAGAAGAATCAAATCTCTCAATAGCATGTTTGTCATGTTGGGCGTGCAAGTTACTCGCATAAAATAGCATTTTAGAGATCCTTGATCTGTTCTTTGTCGGATTAACTTTTATTAGATTTGTCGTGTTCAATACATGGCAATGTTGCTCTTAGTGGAATCACTTATTATTCTTTTGTTTATCTTGCGACTTGACTTTTCGAATCGAACAAGACATTTTTGGACTATCTCAAACATATACGACATTACGTGGATTCAGGATTCACGTGGTCATAGAAATGGTATCATACATTTGATTTTATTACCATAATTGCATGGAAACAAAATACATAATATTCTTGTTTGATTACTTGGCGATAAATGTTTAGCCTTAATCTAACAAACATCAATGTACTTTAGATGGAAAAAATTTTAGCATGAGTACTTTCAAAGAATCACTATTCCTAAAGAGAAATACTTTTGTCTCAGACTTGAAATTTTTAAACACTATGTAATATTAAGTGTTTTAGGCGTAGGGCAGGTTAACTTGGAAATATTGTCATTTTGCATTTAAGGCTGTGATAAATTTTGGGATGCCTTCCTTCGATTTTATAGTTTTATTAATCTCAAAATGTGATTTGTCTGTCCCGTTCTCCAGTAATTGCTTTCTCTATGGCAGAGGAGCATGCATGATGACTATTTTCCTCTTCTTTATGTGTTTCATTTCCTTCAGATTTTTTTCCTACTTTCTTGGTTTTTATGGTATCATTCACTTGTTATTGGGCTGAAAGAGATGTTATTTTTTGAATTTAAAAGTTCTTTGATGTTCTGGCATATTGTTGAAGTCCGTAGGATTTTTTCTTACAGTGAGTTTGACATGTTTGCTTTAACAGTCAGAATGGAAAATTCAGCTATGGATATGCAAGCTCTCCCGGGAAAAGATCTTCCATGGAAGATTTTTATGAGACAAGGATTGATGGTGTTGATGGAGAGATAGTTGGCCTGTTTGGAGTATTTGATGGTTTCTCTCTCCCTCTGCTTTTCATGTGTTTTTAATGCATTACTATTGAGTTTCAAGAGCATGCAGAATTACCTTTGCAGAATATAAGCTCATGAAATGCAGACTATTAATGAAAAAAATTTTCACCAAATGAGTGCCCATTTAATAATTAATTAAATTAGCCTTCCAGTATTCACTAAATGCATTACTTGTTTAGTGTGAAATCTGTGTTAATGCATCTGTAAAAGCATGGTACACTTCGCTGTATTATTCCATTTTTTGGCTATCACTTTTTCTTTTAGACATGCAGTAAGCAAGTAGATAACACAAAATATTTGCCGTGCCTCTTTTTTTTTTTTTTTCAGGCCACGGAGGTGCACGTGCTGCTGAATATGTGAAACAAAACCTTTTCAGCAATCTGATCAGGCATCCAAAGTTCATTTCTGATACCAAATCAGCTATAGGTTTTTCACTTGTTAACCATCCATAGATTTTATATTATGCTAATTTTGTAATTTCCTCGTTGTAAAAGGAACTTCATCTTAGTCTCTATTTTTTTTTTTCCCTTTCCACTGCAGCCGATGCATACAATCACACAGACTCTGAATTTCTGAAATCAGAAAATAATCAGAACCGAGATGCTGGGTCAACTGCTTCCACAGCAATTCTTGTTGGTGACCGTTTACTTGTTGCAAATGTTGGAGACTCTAGAGCTGTCATATGTCGAGGTGGCAATGGTAAGAATCTTTAGGTTTTACCACGTATAATGGTTTTTTTTTTTTTTTTTTTTTTTTTTTTTTATTATTGCTAAATTTTGTAATTTCCCTCGTTTTGTAAAGGAACTTTCCATCTTAGTCTCTATTTTTTTTTCCTTTCCACTGCAGCCGATTTGCATTAACAAATCACACAGACTCTGAATTTCTGAAAGGTCAGAAAAATAAATCAGAAACCGAGATGCTGGGTCAACTGCTTCCCACAGCAATCTCTTGTGGTTGACCGATTTACGTGTTGCAAATGTTGGAGGACTCTGAGCTTGTCATATGTCGACGGTGCATGGTAAGAATACTTTTAGGTTTATACCACGTATAATGGTTTTTTTTTTTTTTTTTTTTTTGTTTTCCGAGTAGATATTCAGAGTTTTCTCATACCTATCTAAATTTAGTTATTTGTGATTGGAGATGGAATTAGAAAAAAATGAGTGTTTTTTTTTTTTTTTTTTTTTTTTTTTTCCGAGTAGATATTCAGAGTTTTCTCATACTATCTAAATTAGTTATGTGATTGGGAGATGGAATTAGAAAAATGATTGGATGCAAACTTATGAAGTTTTTCTTGGGTGGTTGCTTCTGCCAGAATGTTATTGTTTTGTTACACTCCTTTCAATCCAAATGTGAAAGGAAAAGATCGTATAATATGGTTTATATAAAATAAGAAGGTTGGACAAATGTAGTGTTGACTTTTCAAAATGGACATTACTGTAGGATACTTAAAATAGAAAGAAACAGATGCTTCTGTATGGAGTATTAAGAAAAAATTTCTAATAAGAAAAATTCTTCCACTTTTTGGCAATATTATAGTTATATACTATCGAAGGTTGGACACCTGTGCTCTTTGAAGACTGTGGAAGCTTTTTCAATTCTTTTCGGATTGCAATGTTGTTTGGTTGTTTCATAATAAATCATTAAATTGTCTTGCCATTTTATGCAGCTATTGCTGTTTCTCGAGATCATAAGCCAGACCAAACTGATGAGCGCCAACGGATTGAGGATGCTGGAGGGTTTGTGATGTGGGCAGGCGAGCACTTTGTGTTCTATTTCCATTTTAATTTATTTATCAAAAACTTCTTTCTTGGAAAAAAATTTACATGTTGAAAACATAACAGGGACGTGGAGAGTCGGTGGGGTTCTTGCTGTCTCTCGTGCATTTGGTGATAGGCTCTTGAAGCAGTATGTTGTTGCTGATCCAGAAATTCAGGTCCGGTTCTCCTTGCTCGGACCATTTTTGTTTTATTTACAAATATATTATCAACATGGTAAATCCCATGCTAAATATATTCACAAACAAGAAAGAGTTTTTGTTAAAAAAAAAAAAAAAAAAAGAAATTTTCATTGACAGTACAGATAGTGAACTCCTAAATCAAGATAGCTTAAAATGATAGATCTGCCAATAGCTAAATATGCCATAGACTATGCATGCGCCGATCTAGATTCTCGAGTAGTAGTCTTTTCTGAACAATAAATTTTAGTTACCAGGAAAAAAGGTTCTCTTTTTTTTTTTTTTTTTTTTTTGTCAAATTGAGGTTCAAATTTGATGTCTTTTTTCTCTATAAATAATTTTAATATTATTAAACAAAATATCTATCGAGGGTTGTAAGATTAATATAATTAAATATAATATAAATACAAAGTAATTAACAATTGATTAAGATTTATATTAGCTGCAGATTAAATATAAACAAGTACAAGAGGTATGCCATAATGTGCTTTTCCTTAACATTTAAAAAAAAAATCATAATAAAAGATTACATTTTATCTTACCCAAGTACTAAAAATTATGTTTTATTTTCCGCTTAAAAATTTATAAAAAAAATTGTTTTATTCTCAAAAAAAAAAAAAAAAAGCTGTTGAAATGACTAAACCAATTGCAGACCCAGAGGAGGCAGCAAGGAGGTTGTTGCAAGAGGCATACCAGAGAGGAAGTGCAGATAATATTACCTGTGTCGTTGTCCGCTTCTTGGCCAATCAAGGTGCTACCTCTCGTAGCGCTGTTGGTGTTGCTTCTGTGTGAAGTAGCTGTGCTATGGTTCGACCTTTGCAGCTACAAGAAAAACTGGGGCAACATTAGAATTAAGAGGTGTATAGCTAGTCAGGGAAACGCAACGGCGACATCCTGCTGTGGTAGGGATAGAAGGATGGAGGAAAACTCAAGTTGGCTGTTAAAAAGTAACACAGTTACATATTTCAGCCTCTAGAATAGTAACTGTAAGAGTCTAGCTTTTTATGTACTTGGTGTCTCGAGGTAGCTAGAAATGTGCACTCGTTAAGTTGTAGAGTCTTAAATTAAAGACTATTTTCTAAATGTTGTAAATGTGTTTTTAAACTTCATGTTGTTGCTTTTGTTCAATACTTTTTGTTTCCCTGCGAACTGTTCATTGCAAGCTTTTACTTTACTGGTTATCGTTAATTTTGTAATATAACCGGTATCCGAAAGAGCCCATTATACTCATATTATATCCGGTTCAAGTACTGCAGGGTCCATATAGGGTGACTATCGTAGCATGGCAATTGGCAAATGTGCTTTAGGAGACAAAATTGAAATCCTTTCATTATATATGTTTCAGTGGAAAAGATGATCCTTGAACATAAATAATACGAAGGAACCATTTGGTTTATCCAGACCGAACATGTCTTGTCAAGATTTTAGCAGAAATCTAAATTTTCCAATTATAATAAATCATTATCATTTTGTTAATTATAATTGCAAGACTTTTTCTGTAACTAAATTTAGAAGCCTATATTAAAATTTTCTAATTGATATACGCAATTTTATTCTGAAACTTTTCTTTAGTAACATATGCATGATATATTTTCCTATAATATATAAATTTGTGGCAAATACAAAAAAAAAAGAAACCTGAATTTTGACTTTTTTTTAATCAATTTTAGTCAATTTTTCTAATTTTTACAATCAATACATGATTTGTATTAATTCTAACCTCCTTAGTTATCCGTCCAAAATAAGCTGATATTTGATGACAGAGCCACACAAAATGTTGCATCAGCACCCACTAAGCATTTCACCTGAAATAGCAAATTATAAAAAGAAAAGAAAAACCCGTTAAAATGAAAGAAATGTAAACGCAGAGAAAGGAAAAAAAAAAAAAGGAAAGAAAGGAAGTGCCATAAACAAAAAAACACTTAAAAAGAATTAGAAAAATAATAACACTTACAAAGAAAATGATCTAATAGAAATTATTAGTCGATAGGGAGGAAGAGGAGAGAGGACTCAGAAGAAAAAAGAAGGGTCGGCAAGGCAAATTTGCCATTACGCACGACGAGCGAACAAAACTCTCATCATTGTCCTCCTCTAATCATATCATCCTATCCACTAATGAGTAATATAAGGGGAAATGAAACAATCAAAAGAAAACAAAATTAAGGGAGAAATGGAAAAACTGAAATCTGCATATCTCTGCAAGCCAATAAATGAGTGCATTTTATAAGAGCCATCTTTGGACTTTCAGACATAATTGCATTCTCTGCCTTGCTCGCCAAGGGTTGACTGACTTTAAAAAACAGTGTACTTAATTATTAATTAATCATCCTCTGTCTTTTGCTGACCAAGATTATGATAATTTAAGCATAAATGAATATTTAATAATTAATCACTTCTCTCTGTCTTGCTCACCAATAATGACAATTTGTTTAATTAGTTTATTAATCAAATTGAATATTTTATGAGTGGCATCCTCATCTACCAATGGCAGCTTCTTGATTCTACTAATTACATATTCAATCATTAATCCAGAAATTAGAAATACTCTTTTAAATTGATTGATTTGTGAAAATTAATATATTATTACTTTTGCTTTTCCTTAAAAACCTAACAATCAACCATTTGCTAAACCCACAAAACACTAATGATTCAGTTTTTGATTTGATATTATAATAATAACTTAAGCACCAAACGAAAACAAAATTCATTAATACATAGAAAATTAGCTTCTGATCAAAAGCTTCACCAGCTACATATATACACTACATTAATTAATTTAACACAACAACAGATGACAGCAACCACCGACACTGGGATTTTTATTTGTTACTACAAAACATAGATTAAAACGACGGAACGACGCCGAATCCGTAGATACTACTGCGATCCACTTCAACTTCAGTGTCGGTTCGCTTTGCAAATCTTCCTTTGATCCGCGGCCTTGTTTCTGCATAAGCTTTCCTCGATGCGTATCTAATTGTCTTCTCGAACTTTCTGTTCTTTCTCTTTTCTCTGTACCTCAACACCCTCGCTTCTCTGTCCACTGCTGATAGCTGAACCGTCTGATTTGCCGACTCAATTCCATTGCTTACCGATCTACTGTACGGATTTGATATATCCACCATGTTCCCGCCATCTGGAACAACTCCGACGTCCAGAGATGAGGAAGACACCTGAAGTTGCAAGCACATGATCAGACCTTCTTCAATATAATAACTCATTTTAGGTATTCATACAAAACAACTAGAGAGGTAGGTTAGATAACTTACACTGTGGCTCAGGCATTGCGCTTTGTAGCCGTAAGCAAAAGCTTTGGATCCAGAGAAGTCAAGCTCAAAACAGTGATCGTTCACCAATGGAGTTTGAACGCTCTTGCTTTGTACAGGTACAACGCCATCTGTGCCTGAGCTATTCTGCTCTTGTGATTCAAGTTTTGGATCCACAGGCCCGTAATCTAGATCCAGATACGGTTCCATTTCTGAGAACACATACTGACCCGTATTCAGATCCGGACTTTCCATAACTTTAGGGTTGGGAGGGTTTGGAAGAAGCCAAGAGGCTGCTTCTGCTTCCTCTCTGCTGACATCGGCGTCCCCATCCACGTCGGAGAAATGACGGTCATCGAGGAAGTTTATTGCGTTTGGCTTAACGCCGGAAGCCGAGCTGACCGAGTCGTAGAAAGGCGTCACAGGAACTCGTTCGTGTCGTCGAGCCAGTGGATTCGCGGAGTGGATGTCACGGTCGCACGTGACACAGAGGGCTGCAGCGTCAGCCTTGCAAGTGACGTGAGCCGGCGCTTGCTCGCATACCTCACAGACCCAGACACGGGCGTGCCTTGAAGCAAGCTTGTTGGCTGCGTGGACCTTAGAGTCGCAGTTGACGCATAGAAAAGCCGAGTCGGCGCGGCAGAAGAGAGTTGCCGTTGCAGATTTGCAAGAATCACACAGCTTCGAAGCCATTTTCACAGCTGAGTAGAAGCAAAGCTCTCTATTTCTCGCTGTCTGGACGAACCACAGAGATACAGTTTGTTTTCTCCACCCCCCCTACAGTTTGGCTAATTGCCGTTTACTGTGGCGTTAGGCGTCAGCATGAGTCCATCTAGTGGGGTCAGGGAGATCTGAGAAGCAACCAATAGGAGAAAGACACATGGAGAGAGCTTAGCCAAATAAAAGGAGATTTGTTAGATAAGGGAGTGATTTTGAGCTCGGAGGAGGAGTTGTCAATGCGGAGGTGGAGCCCACGTGAGAAATTGTTGAAGGGTGGGGGTATTCTTGGCTTTTCGGCTTTTAGTTGCGGATGAAAATTGAAAAGTAATAATACCGGCAAACTTTAGCAGCAAAAGGATTAATAATGTGAGGGGGGACCCACTTGGTGCCAATTTGGTCTTCGAGATGGATCTGTAGGGCGTGAGAAAGAGGCACTACGCTGTCTTAGCTATCTTTAGACACGGGCAATGAATGGCCAAAGGGTGCAAGGAAATCCTGGCATGCACACGGGACGATTGCAATAAAATGCGCGAGCCATGTTCTTTTTAATGAAAACTTACATATTGCAATGGGTTTATGTAAAGCTTAGCGAGTTATATCTTTATGCAAATGTTTAATTTTTTTTAAAACAAATTAATTGATATTTAAATTTAATGATTAGATAAATTTATTTAAAACTAAAATATATGTGCTAAAAAAATTTAACATACAAAGCCTGCTTGTGAAGTACTATCTTGCACATGCAATGAAAACCGACTTTCTACAGTCAGCTTCAGCCATAGGCATAGGCATAGATTCCATTGGCTGCTTTCTTCTGCTTAACGAGCAATCAGAAATCTTTAATATGTCTTCGGTTAATATTGACCCTCGCCAAGCCACAACAACCCCACCACACACAAACACAAAAAAGGTTTTTTTTTTTTTTTTTTTTTTTTTTTTTTTTCGAGCAATCAGAAACTTTATATAGTCTTCGGTTTTAATTTATTGGACCTCGGCCCAAGCCACCAACAACCACCACACACAAACACAAAAAGGTTTTTTTTTTTTTTTTTTTTTTTTTTTTTTTTTTTTTTTCTCCCTTTATTTTATGTATTTTCTTTTGTTATTTATTTCCGTTGTGCTAAATTTTAAACAGCTACAGGCTACAGCTGCACCCAAACCCATATCTACTAGACCATTGCCACTAACAACTCAAAATACTTCCACAACTGGGGAAAATTCTTAACATCAAACATCAGTTAACATATCTAAATAATTAACAAAATGGCACGATAATTTTTTTGATTTCCTACATAGCAGAAACATCAGTTAACATACCTGAATAATTGCCAAACTCATTAAATGTAGCATCTTCAAAACCCAGTGCAGATCCCTGCTCCGCTTAATAAGGCTTTACCCAATTAGCAACCAAACATATAATAATGTGATTCAATAATATGCTCCGACCCACACTAATTCAGCCAGTGGCAAAACCTAAAATCCTCTGGCCTGACCCGTTTAACCAGTGTACAGTTGCTGTTGTCTCGGAGGAGTGAAGACAATCCTCTAACGTGATATTTAATAAAACTGTCTTCCACAACTATACTTCAGAGAAGGATATGCGTACATGTATAACATGTTAAACTCGGAGGAGTGAAGACAATCCTCTAACGTGATATTTAATAAAACTGTCTTCCACAACTATACTTCTGAGAAGGATATGCGTACATGTATAACATGTTAAAGCAACAAGATGAAACATATCTATATATATAGGATATGCGTACATGTATAACATGTTAAAGCAACAAGATGAAACATATCTATATATATATATATATATATATATTTTGCCTTCTCCCCAAAAAATCATTTTGTGAATTACCATCACACCTCTTCCATCTGTTATTAGCATAACCTCTGCAAATAAAAAGGACAAGAAGAAAAGGCAAGAAAAGAAAGAAATGCTTGTTGAGGATAAATCAATGGCAAATACAATTAAGATCACTCCTGAGTTGCGTCAATTGAGAGAGCTTATGTTAAGATTTCTTCTGACAAAATTAGCCACCTCTTGACTTGAGAGTATTACTCAACCTGCAAATTAATTATTTCATCAATCAGGATTTTGCTTGAAATAACTAAAAGCAGCACCAAACTACAGTTCCCTTCTTATTGCATGCAATATGCAATCAATCAAATCATATTAATAGACTTGGACTTGAGTAGGTTGTCAAGTAAAGGATGTCCTTCCTGAATTTGAAAAGGGAAAAAAAATCATATGCCATTCTTCCATTTATTCAAGTTTGCTCAGACCCTTCTATTGTTCATTCATGGTTAATGTTTACTATTTCTGACAAAATATCAGAGAAAATTATGCATTTTGTTCTGTCTGTTTTCATCAGTTTCGCAATTATGGTCATCTATATTTTCCAAAAGAATCAACATTGCAACAACCGAACATAAATGCCATCATTGATAACAGACCAAAGGATAAACTGACGAAATAAAACCACCAGATACAAAAATAAATGTTGCTATAATTATTATGTATATCTAGGCAATGCCACAAGTAATGACTTTATCCATAATTTTTGAATAAAAGCCTTCATGTCTTGTAATTAACTGAGAGGATGCTTACCAATCCAAGCCCTCAAAGAGGCCTTCACCCTTAACAGCACATGTCTTAAAGATGGCCCACTGACGATTTTTTATCTTGTGCAACTCCAAGGCCTCAGTCACAGCAGCATCATCCAGTGCACCAGGGAGATCCTGCTCGTATAACAAAAAGGTCAGCATGTGACTTGGTAAAACTTTTTACTGTGAACAAGGAAATTAGATTAAATAGTTTGTTTTGCAGTATTGTGTATATAAAAGACTCAAATAATCAAAAGCCTGTCTTGAAGGTGGACTGGTAAATCTAACATTTTAAAAGATGTAATACAACTATATAAGAGTTTCTTGGTTGTAGAGATTCAGAAATTATCTGGACCTGCTTGTTTGCAAAAATGAGGACAACTGCGCCTTTCAATTCATCTTCCTGCCAAAAAGTTCAATACATATACGAATTCAGAGATCCTAATTAAACTGATGAAAGCTTGTCAGACTTTGATTAGTTGTCAACATGTCCTATAAATAGAAGTTTCAAGATATATAACAAGACAGAAAAAAGGTATTTTTTCTCATTCTCTTTCTGTTTCTTTTTCTCTATTTTCTTAAAAATATAATTTTTTTGAAGTATCATTAAGCTTGATTTTCTAGTTGTTAGATCACAAGAAACAAAAGCAATCACATAACAAAGCAACCCATTGTCCTAAAACAGCATGCTACTTTTACCACCAGCAAAGGTCCCCTTGCTAAAAGTAAATCTACATTGCAGACAAAAATGAAACCACCTTAACTCCCTAACATTGTAATAAAAGCTGCACCAATGATCACTAAATTTATTGAAGTTTTAGATAGCAATAAAAGGTAAATTAAAAGACTGGATGCATCATCTCCATTTTTCTTTTAAATTTTCCACAACCAAGCAAGTCAAAAAGCACCTGAAACTCAGAAAGTATGTGGTGCAACTCAATAATAGTTAGTATTACCAACTAGTTTGGTCTTCAAACTAAGTAAAATCATCAAAACCAAGATAATAACTCTTTACAGATAAAGAATTAGAATGGCACCCTCATATTTATTATAAATGACGATAAAATAGGCATGCTTAATAGAAAATTTTTCCAAGCAAGTACCTCCAAGATTGCATGAAATTCTTCTTTGGCAATTCCAATTCTATCAGTATCACTTGAATCAACCACATAAATTATAGCTTGAGTATTTGGGAAATAGCATCGCCAGTATGGCCTGAAATAAATAGACAAATTCACCCCAAAATAGCAGGGAAAAAACAAGGAATAGCATGCCAAAAATTTTTTCTTTAGCAAGCAATCAAATCAAGTGAACATAACAGCATCCAGCATAAAGGAACTTGAAGATTTATACAATGTAATGTTAACATCGCTATAAACAAATTACAAATAGTAAAAAATTTTGAAAGTGGTTCGTAGACCCCTATGTGCCCCAAAGTGTGATACTTTGGTGGTAGAGGGTGCTAAATGGAGAAGACGTAGACCTAGAACCAAATGGAAGGCAGTGGTAGCAAAAGACCTATGATGTCTTGGGATTAATGAAGATCTAGCTATGAACAAAACAAAATGGAGTGGAGACAAAAGATTCATATAGCAGATCCCAATTAATCTAGGATTAAGGCTGCTATGCTTGTTTATTCATTCTTTTCTATATATCAATATATTTTTATTTATACATACATTTTATGCCTTGTTTATTCTTGTGTTTTTGGAGTTGAACAGATATAAGGACAAATGATTCAAACTAGTTTGGGATTAAGGCTTAATAATTGTAGTAAAAAATTTTGAAAGATATGGTGAAATTCACATGTTATTTAATAAGTTTGTAGAAAGGAAAATCAGCGAAAGCCTAAATCAGATTTATGAAAACCAATGAGTTATGTACAGAAGTTTGGAAAAAATGACTCAAATTATGATAGCAGCATAAGCGGCAAAATAAAGAAAATGACAGCAGCAGTTGTGGCCTTGTGAGCTTCCATGTGACACATTAAGATAAAATAAAGAAGCATATTTATCAACTCATGTGAAAACTTCTCATCACTATTAACAGAAATATAATTCATAACTTAACATCTGACATAAGCAACCATTCAGTTACGATATTGCCTCTTCTAGAATAGAGATTAAATAATTTATTCCAAAAAGAAGGAACACAATGAAGCGAATAGATTACCTGATGCTTGTTTGTCCACCTGTTGCAAAAAACCATAGACCAATTTGAATTAAAGTGTTTGCAAGGGAAAAAAAAGAACAATTATATTATTCAATAACCCAAAGCCAGCTAAAAAGGGACCATGATTTTATGCGACTTATTAGTCATAAATCTACATTAAATTTACTTCAAATCCTCAGTTACATGAATAAATAATTGTTGTTAATCTATTACAATTGATGTTAATTTCCATTATAATATGGTAAATAACTGTAACCAAAATGAACATATATAGAAAGAAGATTGATGAATTATGTACAGGGTAAAATAGTTGCTACTTACCCAAATCCCAGACCTGGAACTTGATATTGTTATACTGCACAGTTTCCACATTGAAACCAATTGCTGCATCAAAACAAACATATTAATTCAGGATCGAAGATACTAATGGAACAAATTAATATAAACAGAAGTAATCAAAAGCCAGTGAACGCCTACTTGGGATCGTGGAGACTACCTCGCCCATTTGAAGCCGATCTGAATTGCAAAATCAAAGAATTAGAAAAAAGAAATTATAAAACCCTAAGTATATACCAGGAAAAAAAAAAATCCTAACTAGAAAAAAGAGCGAGAGTGTTACAGAGAATGGTAGTTTTGCCGGCATTGTCGAGGCCAAGCACAAGGATTCGAGCTTCTCTATTGCCGAACACAGAAGAGAACATTCGAGTGAATAAAATGCCCATTTTGGTGAGTTTTTCACTGTCCAGCAAATACTATCTGCATCGCCTCCGTTGAATTCACATATTGCTATTGGAATTTCTAATAACTTCGCTCGCAATTTCCGTTGCGTCGAATACATTTCTTGGCCATCAAAACGTTGACGTTTTGTTCCTCCTCATGAACTTAACTGCAGAACAGCAAATATACCCACTATAGCCTGGAAGAGTAGAAGATGTTGGGCCCAGGAGCCCAGCCCAATCATTCTCACTTGGATAATATTAATTATGCGGACCAAGCCACGTTTCCATCGAGTGTATTACCACTTTGATTGGGTTGAGGTGGCAATGGCTTTTTGTGACGTGTCATAATTTCGGTGACAGTATAGCACCAAAAATAACAGTAACAAAAAACAAATAAAGCAATCGAGAATTCAGGTATTCTGAAGATGGAATGCATACCTGGAGCCACGTTGCAAATTTTTTATCAAAAACTGTGAATGGGTCCGTTGTCCGTATAAAGAAATGGTCGCATTTAATTTTAAGAACAAAAGCGTTTTCGTTTCGCCGCGCTGCAGACAACCGCTGCTGCTTGAGTTTACACGTCGCTTTCCACTTGCAACCAACCTATGACAACCCTGAACGTGTCTCTTCCCTTTCCATCTCGAGAAAAACACACATTTGGCTGACCTCATCATCTTTCTCCTACCTCTCGCCGGAGGAATTTCCCGGCGACTCGAACAAGGGCAAGAGCACTTTGAGAGAATATGTTCAAGTCGTTTTCTTTACTTTATTCTCCATTATAGCTTCAGGTGAATTAACATTTAACAAAAACAAAAGATTATTCCTCGAAATGGGATATATATTGCCAACATATATACTCGATAAATCTTTTCTAATAATTTTTTTTTTTTTTTTGGAACCTAACCCATTTTCTCCAGTAGTGCCTTTTGAATTAATTTGCAAATGGTTTCAGAGAGCTGCAACCAATGGATGTTAAAATTTTTGTTCTACTTTTGTCACATCATCATGGCACTAGGCAAGCAGGCATCCAATGCATATATTTACATTGGAAAATGAAAAGTTAAGGCTACTGTAATGCATGAAAAGAAAAGGAAAAAAAAAAAAGGGCAAAGCAGAAACTATGATTATTCTGTAAAACTTAGCTGTAATTAGCTGGAAAGAAGACTCTCATGCTCATTATCTATTCATCTCAGCGAAAATTTACAATTCCCGGAGAAAAAAGGGAACAAAACTTAAAACTCAACACCTCAAGAAAATAAAAAATGAGAACAACTCCAAAAATTTAAAACAAATTAAGCGGCAGATCAATGGTTCAATTAATTTTGTTCTTGGGTTTGTTGATTCTCTTCATTTTGTAGTTCTTGGTGATCTGCAGCTGTTGCACTCGTTTGATCACCATCACCAATATCTCCTTTGGTTTTCTCTCCATTCTCTGACTTCTCTTTTTCTATAATTTCAATCTTGGCATTTTTGTCGCCAAAAGAAGAAGTTTTGCCAGAAACAGGAGTGGCCAAGAAAGTTGGCTTCTGATCACCAGCCATTATCACTAAAATCTTCTCTTCGTAAACTTTCCCTGCCTTTCCAGCAGCATCGCCTTCTTTTTCATGGCCACTTTCAAGATCTCCATGTTCATCACCACCTTCACTATCATCCAAACGACCAGAAAGTCTCCAGTAAGAGCAAGCTAAGATTAACAAAGCAAACGCAATCAAACCCAACATAGCTGCCAAACCTCCAAAGAGGTACGGCACCGGAGAGTGCCATGGTGAGCGTGGTTGTGTCATTGATGGGGTCACAGTAGTACTGGTGTTAAGGTTTCTAATGGGTCTCATTTTGTTTTTTTCTCTTAAAAGTTAATTTCTTTATATGTTTAGGTAGGAAGAAAGAAAAGGAAAAGGAAGGTGAACCTGAGAAAAAAAAGAGGCAGCAAGGTAGTATTTATAAGCGGAGTTTCTGCCTTTTTATTGGGTTCACGGATTTGGCCCGTGTGTCTAAACTCTAACTAATGGCTATGTATCTGTACCGAATGGTGTCTTAAAAGCAGGATCCTCTTTACCCGGATGGTGTTTCGGGTGGGACCTTTATCGTCTATTGCTGTAGGCCCTAACAATTAACATGAAGAGACATGGTAACCTTAAGTGCTAGAGGGTAATAGTTATTTTTGTTCTTTCAGCAAATTGTGTTTCGTGATCGAACTTGTGTTTTCAGCAATACTCCGATCAACACTTTATTGGTATTGGTCTAATAGAAAAAGATCTGAGATGTTTTTTTTTCTAACTTGATAAAGAAATTAAACTAGAATTAATAATGAGCTACAATAATTAATAACGTTCTTAGTTTGAAATTTGAATCAAAACAAATTATTAATAGAAGAAAGTACGTAATATCAAAAGAGATTATTTTAATTAACGAAAAAATATTTGAGTTTATCCATTTTATGTTATGATAGCAAATGTAGGAATCTTGTTTCTTCTAATTGTATTGTCATTCATGTTTGATTCCAAATCCATATATACTACCTCATCAAATTAATGGCATCGGAGAAAGCCACGCCAATCGTTGACATACGAAGGGTCAATTTGAGATATTCCAAACATGTTGATTTCTTTAAATGAACGAGACATCTAGAACTCGATCTCCCATTTCGAGTTCCACTAACAAATGCATCTTAAATTCTGCGTTGTGATTGTGAAATAATATTCTTTTGTTTTGGACGATATATTTTACTGTGCTACTGATGATATTTCTCCAAATCAATACATTCTTGGTGCATTAATTCTTTATGTAAGTATCAAAATTTTCTTTTTATTCAGAAACAGAGATACATGATACTTAATGAATATATGAATAAGATAAAATCTATAAATTCGCTATATTTAGTGACCGAATTGAATATAACCCAAGAATCGAATACATACTAAATTTCACTTATCAAATAAAATAAATAATTTGGTGATTTTATCTTCAATATATATATGATATACTCATTCATATATATCATGATAAGATATTGACAAAATGGTCTTTGCACAAAATTTAATGCTGTTTATAAAAATAGCTAGGCAACCCATTATTGAGAGGAAAGAGATATGAAGGATGTTGTCATTTTGAGATATATTATTCTTTTACAACAATAATAATAAAAGTAGGGTTTTACTAATAAAAATCCTTTATTACCAGATATGTATATATAAAATAAAAGAATTATAGTGAGGAGGCATCATTCCATATCCCCACTAGCCAATGAGTCTAGCCAGAGGGCAATGTTTTTGTGAGTGATGAGTGATGCAATACATATTTTTCCCATTAAGGCTATGGCTAAGGCTACTAATTAATTAAATATTAAGCATAATTAGCACTTAATTATTTCTAATTGCTGAGGTACATATCAATATCTCAAGCAACAGTTAAAACGCACTTAGGTATATAGAGAGATCATAATCATTTAGTTAAGATAAAATGGAATAAAGATTGTGGGTAAAGTGGCAGCAAGTTCTTGTGGCTTTTCCTTATTTTCATCATTTGTTTTCTGATTTGATCATATCATATCAGTGTGTGCCTAACTGGAAAACCACCGTTTGATATTTCTTTTATATGTCCATTCATAGATTAGGGTTTTCATTTATGAAAAATTTTTAACCAATAAGCTTGCGTCTTTCTTAATTATAAGATTTCAGTCATTTTCAGTTTGAAGATTCAGAAACTGGGTAGTTGCTATACTTGCTACTTGTATTAAAGTAGGGTTGACTTGGTTTCTGCATTAATGGAGTTCATTTTGTTAGTTCAGTTGCAGATAGCCAGCTAGACGTTCACTCGTGAAATTTAGTTGGACGATATCGAACCTATAGCAGAATATGCTTTTCTACATTCATTTTCCTACGCTGATATTTTAGTTGTACGGTTGAAGAAAATATAGCTCCATGGTTGCTGATTGACACTTTTCTGCTAACCAAATCACACTCAGAAGAAGACGAACCAGATGACACTTGGTTCATATTTTCCTTTGATTTTATTATTTATTTTTTGGAGAATATATTTTATATATATAAATATTATTCATTTAGTATATCAAATAAGTATTCTTTCTTCTTCCTCCGCTTAAACCCATTGGGACTTGAAATGAAATGAATCCAATTATTTTATTCTTCAACTTCAAACACTTTTCCATTTTTAAACTTCAGCAGATAACAATTAGATTCCACTTTTGTACTTAATCACAATCTTAATTTTTTTAATCATTACTCATTCATCCTAAACGTATCCATTGTATTAAGTTGGTAATTAATTAGCTTAGCATTTTACACATTTTAATTACTTTGAGTGTGACCAAATCATTTTTAATTTAATATATAAATACAAAATATGTTTTATTTTCTTATATTTTATTATCCATTTTAAAAAATTTGAATATTAATAATTGATTAAAAGGTGAAAGTTAAACCTCCCATAAGCTATAATAGATTGCGTATGCATGATTATGATTAGATTATATTTGTTGAGATATGCAGAAATCTGTCTAATTAATTAATTATCCACCAAAAACCAATTGGGTGCACCCAAAGTGGAAGTAAGGTGACATCTTAAGATAAACCCATAATTATATATAATTTACTATTAATTTAATGGTATTATGTAGTTTTGTGGCGACCCTGTTCAGTGTTTTTTTTTTTTTAAAGAATAATTTAATTGAAAATTGAAATTAAAGAAGAGAATAATATCATTTCCCATCATCATAGAAATTGTTGTAATGATAAAAAAATTAGACACTAATAGTGGATGAAGCACTTGGATTGGGGCCAAATTCACTTGCACTATGCGTCCAAACTAATCCAATTAACAAACATAAAAATGTGTAAAAGTCTCTCGTAAAGATTTGGTGTTGGAATCTTCTGTCACGACACAAAAATATGAGAGAGACAGCACTGGTTCCCCAACTTGGGTGGATCTGTGACGTAGATAGAGGTTCTTTTACAATTTTATGCTTCTTCCTCTGCAGATAAGGCTGCCTGGGAACCCACCCACAGTTATAAAATCATGTTCAGCATCGGCTTTTGAGGTAGCTTAAAAATGGTTCTGTAACCTAATTTTTATAATAGCTTTTAAAAATGGAGAGAGCTTTTTGTCAAATCTTAAACATTTTAATGTTTAAAGTTTCGTATCGATGAATTTTTTTTTTATAATTATACCCATTATTTTTTATTAATAGAGCCTCTTTTAAAAAGTGCAGAAACATGTGAATTTTGGTCATGCGCGCATAAAAATCGACTCATCTAAGGGATCCAAAAATAACGAGGCAGGAGCATGGGCAGGTCGCTTTTGGACACCCTGCCACCATATTGCTGTCGAGAGCAAAGCTAATTATATAGTTGGCTTAGCTCCTCTAGTTAGTAGTGGATCCGAGATATTTAAGATTTGGCGGCCATTTTAGCTTGGATGGATGACGAATATCTTCTTGGTGTTTCTCATCTACGACCAGTCACGTCTTGTGCAGAGACTTAAGCTTGAATCCACTCCAGAAAAAGGAAAGTTTAATGAATTGTTTCAATCGTGACCGGACCCAGATTTTGAGTTAGCGAGCTGTCCGGACTCTTATTCCACTTCCAACTTCCAAATATTCCATCAAATTTTTTTTTTTAAGAAAAAAATATTCTATCAAATTGAAAATGAGCTAATAAAAGAATAAGTATCCATTTGTAACAAATGAATTCCTTGTAGGATTCATTTGAAAATCCAAAATTTTGTATTTGGAATGAAAAAAATACAGATTTAAATTCTATGAATTGAATTCTTTGACATTGAATGTGTCTTACTCAAATTCTACTAAAATTGATGGAATTTTCAAGTGAATTTCACAAAATTAAACCATTGAAATTTTAATTGATAAAATTACTTATGTCCACTTCCAACTTTCAAAATTATTCTACATAAATTTTTATATTTTAAAGGGAAAAAATTTATCTTATTCAAAAGTTAGAAAATGATGCTAATAAAAGAATAAGGTATCCGATTTTGTAATCAAACTGATATTCCCTTGTAGGATTCATATTGAAAAAATCCAAAAATTTCTGTATTGGCGATATTTGAAAAAAATACAGATTCTAACGAATTCTATGGGAATGGAATTCCTTTGATACATAGTTTGTTGTTATATACTCAAATTTGCTACTAAATTGTATAGGAATTTTTCAAGTGAATTTCACCAAAATTAATACCAGTTGAACATTTTAATTGGGTATATAATTACCCGTCCACTGTAAAAAATCAATTTGTTTAGCTCTTTTTTTTTCCTCTCTGTTTCTTTTTTTTTTTTGAGAAATTCCTCACCACGATTTTTTTTGTTTATTATATGGTAATAACTAAACTTTTTTTATTTTTTTTAACATTTGAACCTACTAAATTGTTTTTCTTTTGAAAAGTCCCTGCGTTAAAATAAATCTAACTTTATTATTTTTCACTTTTATATTGGAAAATTACTACTACCGCTTTTTTTTTTGGAAATCTGATATATAAATTTATAGTAACTTTCTTTTCTTTATTGAATAATTCCCTCAAAACTATTAATTAATGTTAGTTTTTAAATATTATAATAATATATACTATAAATTATAAAAATCTGACTATCACACATTATTCAAATGCAATTGAAAATAATAATAAACCTAATTTTTTAAATATTGTTGTAGGTTTCCAAAATTAAATTTACTTAAATCAATAAGATTTTTAACAATTAAAATAATATTACGATGACATGTTAATGCTTATTATAATTAATTAAATTAACCGAATTTAATAAAAAAACAACAAGTTATGTGTTATTGTAAATATAATAAATTTGAGTGTTTGTTATTTATTTTATTAATTGATTATGGTCAAGGATATTTATAAGAAGTAAAGGACAAATTGGAATTTTTATTTAAGAATTTATTTCCCAAACATTAATTTCTGTGTTAATAAAATTGAAATCAATTATTTTAAATTATGATATAAACCCCAAATATGAGAAAATTCATTATAAATTGAAGTCTATATTACTTATTAATTGTTCCAAACGATACTGTACGGCTTATTATACACAGGAATAGTCCTTAACAACATTGGTGCAGGGAATAAGCCCTTAGCCTTTACTAAATTGGTTGAAAGAATTATAATCGAGGAGGACTTGAATATGAGATATCTCTCTTCCATGATTAGGTAAAAGCTCAACCAACTTGGACATCTTAATTGGTTCTTCAATTATTTATTATTTATTTTAGAGGTGGCACAACTTTCGAGACTTAAAATGTTAATGTAATATCCTTAATTCTAACAAATATCGTAATAAAACTAGTGTACTTACCCAAAGGGTTGGTCGATCTTAGCCCGATTAAACTTCTACTCTGTATCGGGGTCGTCGATTCCCAATTCGATATGCAGCCCAGCCTAGTTCTTTCAATTAGGCAATTTTTTTGGTGACTGAGATACTCTATAAGCCGGGTAGTTAATAAGGCCCATCATAAGGACTTCTACGAATTACTCAGTAATGGGTCCTAACTAAAAGCGGACCTTTAAGGACAGCGGCAATTGGGCTTCCCTTTGGAGCCGAAATGGCAATTACCAACCTACCCTATCTATTAATGGCTTTTTTAGATCACACTTTCATAAGATAAGTTTCCTGTCTTTCAATTCTAAAGGATGTGATTTTGCCACGTGAAGGTAAAAATGAAGAAGCACTCGCTGGGTTGAAGTCCATTGGCGAAACACCTAAACTTCCTCCTCCACAGATTCTATTAAGGCCGACGTTCAAACAGGCCAACATCTGTATCTTCTATTGGGCCCATTGTGTCCTCTCTCCTTGGGATCGCTTGTTTTTCCCCCTTTCTGCATGCGATGAGCGACCTGACTTTTCTGCAGTAGGAAACCCGCCAGAGCGCAGGGGAGCCTTTCATAAAGACGAAAACCTCTTTGGGATAAAACACTAGATGCTAGTCTCTAATATGTTTGGAATTTCTTAGTGCCACCATTCCTTTTCAAAAAGGAATCTTTACGTGTCTCATTACAATAAAATGGCACTGGGGATGCTCGGCGATCAACACAGCCCTTGGCGAATCCATTCAAGATCAACCAAGTTTCCGAGATGGTTAGTAAAGAGGCTCTTTCTTTGAATTGACTCAAATTCTACTAAAATTGATGGAATTTTCAAGTGAATTTCACAAAATTAAACCATTGAAATTTTAATTGATAAAATTATCCTCCACTATAAATTCAATTGTGTTTACTCTTTTCCCTCTTTGTTTTTTTTTTTTTTTTTGAAAAATTCCTACACGTTTTTTTTTTAATATGGTAATAACTAACTTTTTTTATTTTTTTTTAAATTCCTACTAATGTTTTCTTTTAAATCCGGTAATAACTAACTTTATATTTTTATTTTTTTTGGAAAATTACTACTACCGCTTTTTTTTTTTGGAAATCTGATAATAATTATTTACTTTTTTTTCTTTTTGAAAATTCCAAACTATTAATAATGTTAGTTTTTTTAAATATTATAATAATAATATTACTATAAAATTATAAAAACTGACTATCAACAGTTATTTTCAAATGCAATTGAAAATAATAATAACCTTTTTAAATATTGTTGTAGTTTCCAAAATAATTACTTAAATCAATAAGATTTTTAACAATTAAAATAATTATTACGATGAATGTTAATGCTTATATAATTAATTAATTAACTAATTAATAAAAAACAACAAGTTATTTTATTGTATATAATAAATTGATGTTTGTTATTTATTTTTATTAATTATTATGTCAAGGATATTATAAGAAGTAAAGACAAATGAATTTTTATTTAAGAATTTATTCCAAACATAATTTTGTTTAATAAAATTGAAATCATTATTTAAATTATGATATACCAAATATGAGAAATTCATTTATAAATGAAGTCTATATTACTTATTAATTTGTTCCAAACATACTGTACGGCTATATAACAGGAATAGTCCTTACTAAATTGGTGCAGGAATAGCCCTTAGCCTCTTACTAAATTGGTGAAAAATTTTATAATCGAGAGGACTTGAATATGAGATATCTCACTCTTCATATTAGTAAAAAGCTCAACCAACTTGCACTTAATTGTCTCAATTAGTTATTTATTTATTTAGATTGCACACTTTCTAACTTAAATTTTATAATTATCCTTAATTCTACAAGTTAAAAGTACTTACCCAAGAGGTTGGTCGATTTTACCGATTTAACTCTACGGTCGCTACATTGAGCCCAGCCTAGTTCTTCAATTAGGCATTGTGGACTGGATACAAAGGTAGTAATAAGGCCCATCATAAGACTTCTCGATTAGTAATGGGCCTAACTAAAAGCGGACCTAAGACACGGGCAATTGGGCTTCCTTTGGAGCCGAAATGCAATTACCAACCTACCCTATCTATTAATGGCTTTTTAGATCACACTTCATAGATAAGTTTCCTGTCTTCAATCTAAAGGATGTGATTTTGCCACGTGAGTAAAAATGAAGAAGCACTGCTGTTGAAGTCCATTGGCGAAACACCTTAAACTTCCTCTCCACAGATTCTATAAGGCCGACGTCAAGCCACATCTGTCATCTCTATTGGGCGCCATGTGTCCTCTCTCCTTGGGATCGCTTGTTTGTTCCCCTTCTGCGTGAGCGAGCCTGACTTTTCTGGCAGTAGAAACCGCCAGAGCGCAGGAGCTCTAAAGACAAACCTCTTGGAAAACCTAAGCTAGCTCTAATTGTTGATCAGCAATTTTCAGTAATACGGTATACAATAAAATGAGGATGCTCGCGTCACGGTTGATCCATTCAAGATCACCAGTTTCCAGATTGTAGTAAGCTCTTCCTTGAATCTTTTTTTTTTGTTTTCTTTTGCCCGTTTGTTTTGAATTTTCATTCATATATATTTAGTCGTGATGCCGTTTTAGATTTACATTGGTTAATATAATCAATTTTCGTGAATGTTTATTCATAAATTAGATTTTGGAGTGTGTACTAGCAATGGTAAAAGGAGGAAATAGAACTGCGATTGGATTTTTTTATAGCTTTTCTCTTTGGCATTTTGCTTTTGATGTTAAAGTTTGAATGTATCAGTTTATAGTGTTGCCAAGTGTGAAGGATGTGAAGTTTCCTGAGCCTTTTTATTAATTATTTCGAAACAGTGCAATAGCTGCATCCAGGAGTGGGAGGCATCTATCAACTGATTCTGATAAGGTTGATGAGCCCTTCAAAGTTGAGGAAGCAGAGACAGTAGATGTTCCTCCGCCGCCAACGGAGAAGGTATGCTGTCCGCTGCATACTGCACTTTGTCTTTGTTCTTGTAGATATATTTGTTTGCTTCTATACATTTTAACCAATATCTCAATCAATTCAGTTGCTTGTGTTGGGTGGAAATGGATTTGTTGGCTCCCATATGTGCAAAGAAGCTCTGGATCGTAATGTATCTGTTGTTAGCCTTAGCAGGTATTATGCTCCTCTAAAGTTGTAATTCATCTGCTGTCTTTGCTGGCAGTGATACTTATTTGATTTATGACTTTACATCTTCGTATGTCCCTGTTGATGCTAATGTGTTTTTGGGTGATTTTATCGATGGAAATGAGTAATTCATATTACTTAAAGTTTTGCGCGGGTGAGAATTTCTCATCAGGATATGTAGTTTCCTTAAATCTGGTCATTGGGTGTTGAACACTGAAAGTACAGTGGAATCACTATGCTCATCTGATGTAAAACAAATTAATGGTTTGTATACTTATATCTTGTTAAGTGGTCGTGTCATTCATACTACAGGAAGCATCCACAGTCGTAATACGACTGATGTTGCCTGATCTTTGTTCTTCAATCTTAAATATCCAGCACATTAAATCAGTTTATACAATGCCAACTCTCAATCACTTCCCAAATTATGACATATAAATATTGGAAAATATTTTAAATATGTATCAATCAAAATAGTTCTTACGTCCCTCTTAGGTTTTGCTATATTCATTTTTCTAACTGGAACTACTAGGTTACCTGCTAATTATCATTTCTCATTTCATATAGTTGAACTGGATCCTCATGTCTTCAACCATTCAATATATTTTTTCTTGGTTCTCTTAATATATGTTGATCATTTCAGGTCTGGTAGGTCATCAATAAGCGATTCCTGGGCCAATGCTGTGACCTGGCATCAAGGTTTACTTTTAATCTACAGCACTTTCTTGATTGTATTAGATTTGAAAGGTTTACCTAACTTTTGCTAGCGTTAATCTTTTCTTTTTACAGGAGATCTTCTTTCAACTGATTCATGGAAGGAAGCTCTTAATGGGGTTTCTGCCATTGTATGTGTTGCCTCACCATATCAGTAGTTTAGCTAATCCACTAGCGCAGCAAATCTAAAAATTTTGCTTGCATCTGTCTATAGGACAGCCATTTTTTTGTACAAGATTTGATGATTTTTAATTTGTTAACACTTCTTTTATGATTTTATGGACCAATTGCTCATTGAGTTTACCTTTTCTAGATTTCATGTGTCGGTGGTTTTGGCTCTCAATCTTACATGTATAAGATTAATGGAACTGCAAACATAAATGCAATAAGAGCTGCATCAGAAAAAGGTATGGATATTAGATAGCTGAGATTTTAATTGCCGTTTGATCGCTATGTCATGTCAAAATGACTGCAAGTGGTTCAAAATAAAAGCCTTGAGGAAATAAGGTTAACAGCTTGACTTTAACAGGCATTCTAATTTGTTTGAAGTTGAACTACCAATTGCTAGGAACTTTTATGGATTGGTGTTTTTTCTGATAAAACAATTCCACCAGAAGCTTAAAACAAACTATAAGTTACTCTGTAATGCTTTTAGAAAACTTATTGTTCTGGTTGTATTAGGTATTTAAAATGGTTGAGGCATCTAGCAGGAGCTATAAACTTGACATGGGACTTTCTGCTGCTTACATGCTTATTTTGCTTGTCCACCTTAGGGATACAAACTGTTTTGCTATAGCTTCATTTTAAGTGTTTTTTTTAATAATTACTTCTCACTTGCACTCCTTGCTGAAATTACTTGTCTGCCATCATACAATAAGCCTTTGCCACTGATGAAATGACTCGGTCTTTCAATTATATTGCAAACTTTCTGCCTCTGTACATATGTGATGGGCCCTCAAGCCTGGACAATTGGCTGTCTCCTTTTCTCATAGCAACACAATTTTGGCTGCATCACTTTATTCTTTTTATCTTTCATTTTTTACTTATTCTATTGCAATGGCAATGAGTCCATTTTTTTTTTTCTAATAGGTGTAAAAAGATTTGTTTATATCTCTGCTGCTGACTTTGGTATGGCCAATTACTTACTGCAAGGATATTATGACGGAAAGGTACTGATTGATTTTTTATTTACTGCTAATTTTGTTATTTAGAAATTAGTAGTTATTGCAGAGAACTGAAATTATGTGGTGACTGTTGACTCGGACATTTCTAGCTTTGATATTTTGGAAAACAGATGAGTTGCTCTTTGATCAAACTTATTTTATTTTATTGTTGTTTAATCTGTTGACTGCCAACTTGTGTAGCATTCACCATGTTTATATTGTGCATAAATTTATTCTATGACGTCAAATATGCATTGGTTATGTCACAAGATCGACGCCCTAAGTGTTACCATGATATTGATTAGTGATTACCTGTAATTTTGTTCAAATAATTCGTATCTAATGGAACATTGTTACTCGTCCTCTTTGAAATAGAGAGCTGCTGAAACAGAGTTGCTGACCAAGTTTCCTTACGGAGGTACAATTTCTCTCTCACATCACTATAAACTGTCACGTGTTGGTTTGCTTTTCTGAAAAAACTGAAAGGTTAAAAACTTTTAAGTTGTGAAATTTCTTTTTCTAAATGACAATATTATTCTGTATGTTAGTTATGGTGTGCAGTATTCTTAATTCAGGCTTATGTCAAAATCTTGTAGCTATGTTTACCAGTGTATTTTCAAATAATAATCTCTCTTCCTTGTGGCAAAACAACACAATATAACAATGACATAATATGGTTCTTGCTTTAATGGGAGACTATTGAAGAACCATTTTTGTTGTCCTTGTTCAGGAGTGATTCTCAGACCTGGGTTTATATATGGGACGCGGAAGGTTGGTAGCATGAAGTTACCTCTTGGTGTCATTGGTTCACCATTGGAGATGGTAATTTCTGGCTCTTTCTTACTATATTTTGGCTGTACCTTTGGGTTGCCCCAACTGAACGATGCTGGACAATGGAGGTGAAAAGGAATGTAATTAATGAAATATGTCTGTGTACAACATGTTTCAGCAGATTTGGCTGCAAAGGGCAATATCCTTTTAGGAATGTAGATGTTGATTATTGTTGTTATTATTATTTGTGATTGAGCTATCCTATACATGCCTGCAGATTCTTCAACATGCTAAATCACTTAACCAGCTTCCACTCGTCGGACCGCTGTTCACTCCTCCTGTCAATGTTACTGCAGTAGCAAAAGTTGCAGTAAGGGCGGCAACTGATCCTGTTTTTCCTCCTGGCATCATAGACGTTTATGGAATATTACGTTATACTCAGCAAAGGTCAAAATAGATTTGAGTTACTTTCTTTTGCCTTCCTTCCCTCAACAATATAGAGTCAAATATATCAGAGCTTTTTTTAAGTCTGATGCTAGTCAGATTTTCAGCTGTTGCTTTGGTTAAAATTTCTTCTGTTTGTATTTCTGAAGAAACAACAATTGAAGTGCACAGAATAATTAGACGAAAATATTTTAGAAATTGTTCTCTATTTTTTGGACAATAATTAGTTGATTCATATCTATAACCGGAACTCCATTTTTTGCTTTGATGATGTACTCTGGACAAATCAAATCAAATCAAATCATAAAATACAGATTCTTTCATGAATAGCCTCATGCTTCATTTTAATTTGCTTGGACTACGACTCCTTCCCTGGCGGCTGGTGTGGTGTGCTTAGCTGCGTTCCTCAAATTGATTTTTCTTATTACAATGGAAATGAAATTGTCAAGTTATTTGTTCCTTTTTCGAGGAAAGAGGCAAAATAGTAATCAACCTGGAACACAATGTAATATAATTAAAATAACTTGGGGTTTTCCCTAATCAACAACGCAAAAATTCTCGAAATTTCGTTTGTCAACTTCAATTTATATATCTGTACGTTCGCTCTAAGATAATAATTCAGAAATTAGTTACTTTCTTCTTCAATTAAATCATAGTAATAAAATATTCATTAGTTTGAGTAAATAATTATTGATCTTACATCATTAATTTGATTAAAAATAAAAAAAATTTAATTATTCTTTAATAAATTTTCTTCATGGAGAGTAATTTTGGAGGAGTAAAAAAAACTCAGGCATGGGACCCATCAGTCGTGACCGTAAAATACTGAAATCAGAAGTCATAGCGTCGAAGCCTGAAAGCCCATATTAACCAGCGTGCGAGAGTTAACGAGAAAAGAAAAAAAGAAACAAACAAGAAACATGAACCATAGTAATAACAGCCAGCAATCAAGCGATGGAAGGCACGATGATGACGCAGCTCTCACAGAATTCCTTTCTTCCTTAATGGATTTCACTCCCACTGTATAGTCCCCCTTCTTTCTCCTTCGAAAACTCCATTATTAGCTCATAGTCCATTTATATGTTAATTCGATTAGGTTTACTAATTTTGTTTTAATGATTTGCAGATACCCGACGAATTGGTTGAGCACTACTTAGCCAAGAGTGGGTTTCAATGTCCCGATGTTCGATTGTAGGTACTCCTTATTCCTCTCTTTTTTTCCTTCCTTCCCATCCTGAACTTTTAAGCGAGCTACATTAATTTGCCTGCAATGATTTGTTTTCTTCCCTAAATTTTCTTTGTTTCTTCTCGCAATTGAAATATTGAAAAGTTATCTAGGTTAGTCGAGCAGTTGGTTAGGTCTTTTAACTTGGGGCAATCAGATGGCTATGGGAAATTTTTATCTGGGTCGAATATGGTTTGCAGCATATGATTTTGTTAGTGGTCGAGATCTAATGAGAGCAGACGAGTTACGTTGAGGAATTTATTTGCAATTTTTTAAAAACTATTTGTTTATTTACTTTTGGGTCCTATTTCGCAATGAGGTTATGCATTGCCAATTTCTTACTGGATAATTTTCCGTATATTTGCTAATTGTTATTCTGGGTTTTTGGGCGAACTAGTTTTGCCGATTGTATTTTTTGTTATTACCTTTGTTATCTCACTATAAGGGTTTCAATTGAGTTAACTGTCGAGTAGTTCAAATTTATCTAGAATTGATTATCTGTATGCTGTATAGATTGTTGTATTTTAGTTTAGATTATATTTTTCAATGTTAAGAACTTTTGGTTCGTCAGAATTTCAAATTTGCTTGTCTTTGAGTTGAAAATCTTTAATATTTAGTCTTTATAAAATGGGCCAGTTTTATACTCTTGGTGTATTATGTTTTCTGCAGAATCAGATTAGTAGCTGTTGCTACACAAAAGTTTGTTTCAGAGGTCGCGATGGATGCACTCCAGTATGTATCAATTTTGCTTTTGTCCTCCTATCTCTTTAACAAGCACTATAATCTATTTGTAGTACTTTGACATCACTGACTTTATGTAGTGGGTTAAAGTCAAGGGTTTTCTTTTCATAGTAAATATATGCGAAACACATAGAAGTGTTTAAAGTTTCAAAAAGGATTAGAGGCAGTAGTGGAAGATGCTGATTAAATGTGTATTTAACCATACTAAATAAAGGTTTACTAGCAGTTCTATCCCTTCCAAGCGAAATATTGGATAATTCATGTTCTAGTATGTTGAGAATATATCCTTGACTTGACCTGATTGCTAGATTTATGGAATTTATTTCAATTGCACCAAATATACACTCAACATGTTTGCATATTTTGATTTTGTGAAATTGGTTTTACTTGAGCAAAATTGATAGAATTTGCAAATGAACTCTAGACCAAGTATATGAGTTTTGAAATATTCTGTGATGGCTTCATAATGATTTTTTTTTTAACATTAGTGAGGCTGTCGCTGTGAAATAAGTAGAATTAAACAAAGATTTGTGTAGCCGATTAAACTAGTTAGGATTGAGCCTTAGTTGTTATTGGCATCATAATTTTTTAATGAATTCTATGTGTTAAACTAAAAGATACCTGATATAGGAATTCATTTACAAACAAGATCCATGTTCTAAATCACTGTGTTTATGCACTGAGATTTTGTTCATAGGCTGTTGCAGCATATTCTGCCCTTTACAAAAACATGATATCCAAATGGGTACTTTTACCCTTATTCATATCAAGTCAAGTCAGTTGATTCAATAATAGAATTTCTTGTATTTTTCCGTGGACAATTCTTCCACCTTATGTAGTATAAACTGCATTATTTTTTTCATTGGCATGGTGTTAATGATGGAGAACTTTTTCTTCTGCACTCTCATTTAGGCAATGCAGGGCTCGTCAAACTTCTGTGGTGAAAGACAAAAGAGAGAAGCAGCAAAAGGTGCTATTTAAATCTTATGTTTAATACATGGGTATTTTGTTCTTCCTGGTCTTAAATTTTTTTTTTTTCGGAACAGGATAAGCGGCTGATCTTAACAATGGATGACCTGTCCAAGGCACTGCAAGGGGTAAACAATAAAATTCTCTTTCTTCCTCTGTTTAGAAAGACTAAGTTTTTTGCTGGTCCTAACTTTGGTCATGCATCCTAAAACCAAGCTTTGATCCTCACTTTTGCTGTAATAAGTGTTGAATAATAAGGTTTGATAGTTATACATTAAAATGGCAGTGCCTAATTTCGCTGCAGTTTGATCCACATTTTTTCTGTAGCAAGTGTTTAAGAAGGTTTGATAGTTCTATGTTAAAACGGCCATGTCTAATTTGCGACATTATTCTTTTCACCATAATATTTTTGCATGATTTAGGGTTAAAATGAGAACTGAACTTACTTTAACGCAGGATGAACTGTCTCAAGTGTATATAAATATATGTTGCGGGCGACTATGTGACTAATAGAAATGGCTTTTCCTAAGTTGATGTACTTGTAGGTTGACTCTTACTTTTTTATCTTACTATTATATTGATGTAATGGCGGTTCTTTTTGCTAACGAAATGAGCAGCATGGCGTGAATGTGAAGCACCAGGAGTATTTTGCTGATAGCCCATCTACTGGAATGGATCCTGCATCAAGAGATGAGTAATATGATTTGTGGCTTTAGAAAGACGTCTTAACATTTATGTCAAGTCCATATACATTTGCCTTTTCAGAACAACTCTTATTAACAGATAAATGTTTAGTCCTGCATTTAGAATTTTAATATCTGCTGTCTATTCTATGTGTATGTGCCTGTTTCATTGAATTCATTTATCTTTTTTTCTTTTTTCTCTTTTAACTTTTTATTTATTATTGTCTTATATCTTTTCTTTCAAAAAAATTCTTTCTAATTTTTTTAAAGATTTATTAGTTCGTAACATTTAATTGATAAAAATTAAAGTTGAGACAGTGAAATTTATTAAAGCTTGCAATTAATATACGACGATCGGACGGCGACCAACTACCAAGATCATGCTTTTCTTTATTTTATTTTATTTTTCTCTCCGGAGGTGTAGTGAATTCAATTCAAGATTAGTTGATATTTTGGAAGTTTTCTTGGATAGTAGTCTTGTTTTGGGACTCAAAACGAAGATTGCTTCTAAGAGAGTGAATCCTGAAAGCCTTTCAAGCTAAACGGTGCGTTTATACGTTTAAAAAGTTTAAAATTAGAAAAAAAAATTATTAAATAACAATAATGAAGAACAATTTACAGTGTCTTCTCTTTAATTTTTAAAAAATAATTAAACAAAACATTTGATTTAATAAAATTATAGAATTAGACAAATATTTGATTATGTTGAATATTTTGTTTTGCCAAGAATTAGATTTTTTTTTATGCAAGTTTATGGAGTAAATTATGCCAAAAAAAAAAAAAAAGTTGAGTTTTTAAACTATTATATACTATTGAACTTTATATTAATAATTTAATGCACATGACAAACAGATTAAGCAAGGGAAACTTTTTGCATCCATTACACAACTTAATTAATTTCATTGACCTTCGTTTAACGAAAAGGCAATAGCGTATCCTGTTGAAGAGATAAATTAACAGTAAACGATTAATTTTTACCAAGAAAAAACGTAAACGATTAATTAAAAGAATACAAAAGTAAACGATTCTACCAACTAGATAGAAGAAGAGTTTAATTAAATGCTAATAATGAGACTGAGGCTTCTAAATACTTAATACTAGTACTGTATAAATATATTTCCACAAAAAAATAAAAAAAAAAAAAACTCCATAAGTCGGTTATTTGTGCAGTGGGTTTGACTTTCTCGACAAGTGGAATTTGATTTGGTCAAGGTAAACGACGATGCCAGAGGACAATTCATGTCGTTCACAATCAGAAACTTTTTGCTTGCCATCTCTGTACAATATGGATTGTCAATTTAATTCAGTAATTGGATCCTTGACCTTGTGATTACGTAATAATGTGTTTACAATGAAATTTCCTTGCAAGTTGCAACGTTTGTGTATATGTATATGATGACTGGTCTCTATCTTCTTCTGGGCTTTAATTGATAAAATCATTACTTCTCAATCAAAGGAACAACCAACTTAATGACATGAAGAGGAAGGCAATATCGAAAGGTGTTATCTTTTCGCTTTTGTTTGTGTATTTGGTTGAAATGAAGATGGCACAACAAGAAACGATACCAATCTTAGTGAAAGTAGGAATGGTTGTTGACTTGGAGAAATGGGTAGGGAAAATGGGATTGAGTTGCATAAATATGGCCCTCACAGACTTCTATCAAACACATACTCACTATCGGACCAGGTTGAACATCATCGCCAGGGACTCCGCCGCAGATGTTGTTGCTGCTGCTGCTGCAGGTTCTCTCTAAATTCAAATTTATCCATTGTTCATTTGATGTTCTTGTTATTACAGATTATATGTGCAAAGGGATTTCTTTTTCTGTTATATTTTGTAAACAAGTCATGAAATTTTTTGTCTCCTTCCAAATACAGCTTTGGACTTGATAAAAAATGAGCAAGTGCAAGCAATCATAGGGCCAACAACATCAATGCAAGCTAATTTTGTAATTGATCTTGGAGGAAAAGCTCATGTACCCATCATCTCATATTCTGCGACAAGTTCTTCTCTTACTTCCATTAGAAGTCCATATTTTTTCAGAGCAACCCAAAGTGACTCGACCCAAGTCCATGCCATTACTGAAATTGTTAAATTATTTGGATGGAGACAAGCAGTGCCCATCTACGTAGATAATGAGTATGGTCAAGGAGTCATACCTTATTTAACCGATGCTTTACAAGCAATTGATACCCGAATCCCCTACCGCAGCACCATTTCTCCGTCTGCCACCGATGATCAAATCATGGAAGAGCTTTACAAGTTGATGACTATGCAAACTAGAGTCTTTATTGTGCATATGTCATCCTCTATTGGCTCTCGGTTTTTCACCAAAGTAAGAGAGATTGGAATGATGAGTGAGGGCTATGTTTGGATCATAACCGATGGGATGACTGGTCTCTTGAGTTCACTAAGTCCTTCGGTCATTGATTCAATGCAAGGAGTATTGGGTGTCAGACCTTTCATTCCAAAGACTAAGGAGCTTGAAAATTTTAGGGTTCGATGGAAAAGGAAATTCTTGCAAGATAATCCTGGCATAGTTGATGCTGAATTGGACATTTATGGATTATGGGCTTATGATGCTGCCGTCGCATTAGCCAAGGCAATCGAGAAAGCTGGGACCTCAAATTTTGGCTTCCAAAAGGCAAATGTTACTAAAACTTCACTAACTGACCTTGCAACTCTTGGGGTATCGCAAAATGGTCCGAACCTTGTGCGGGCATTATCAGATACTAGCTTTAAAGGTCTTACAGGAGATTTCCTATTTGTTAATGGACAGCTACAATCTTCAGCTTTCGAGATAGTTAATGTGATTGGTAATGGACCAAGAGGAATTGGATATTGGACACCTAAAAACGGACTATTCAAGAATTTGGGCCTAGGAATAAATGCAATAAGTTCGAATTCTACTTCCAAGCTCAGTCTTGCACCTGTTATATGGCCAGGGGATTCAACTTCTATTCCTAAGGGATGGCAGATTCCAACAAATGGGAAGAAGCTACGAATCGGAGTGCCAGTGAAGGATGGTTTCAGTGAATTTGTAAAGGTGACAAGAGATCCTTATACTAACACCACAACAGTAACAGGCTACTGTATAGATGTTTTTGAGGCTATGGTAAAAGCCTTACCTTATGCTTTAATTTTCGAATATATACCCTTTGCCAGGTCAGATGGTAGCAGTGCAGGAACTTACGATGATCTGGTCTATCAAGTGCACTTAGGGGTAAACCGATCTTTTTAATCTTTTCTGTATTTTTGATAGAAATGTCATTTCCTTTACTAATGGGCATTTTTGTTTGGTATTGCAATAACAGAATTTTGATGCTGCAGTAGGAGATACAACCATTGTGTATAATAGGTCTCTACATGCTGACTTCACATTGCCATATACAGAATCAGGAGTATACATGGTAGTACCAACCATAGACAACAGGAATAAAAATGCTTGGGTTTTTGTTAAGCCTTTGACATGGGATCTTTGGGCAACAAGCTTTTGTTTCCTTTTGTTTATTGGATTTGTTGTCTGGATTCTTGAACATAGAATAAATAAAGAATTCCGAGGTCCTCCTTCTCATCAACTTAGCACTAGCTTATACTTTTCCTTCTCGACCATGTTTTCTGCTCACAGTAAGTAATTTCAGTTCCATTGTTTTTCATATCATTAAATAACAACAACTTCATTATAATTTTCTTTTTCTTAACTATTATTACAGGGGAAGGAGTGGTTAGTAACTTGGGTAGGTTAGTGATAATCGTATGGTGCTTTGTTGTATTGATTCTGATACAAAGTTACACTGCCAGCTTAACAAGTCTTCTAACAATACAGCAGCTCCTGCCAACCTATACTGATGTAAAACAACTGATAAAAAATGGGGAGAATGTAGGCTACAAGAGAGGTTCTTTTGTTCCGGAAATCTTGAAAAATCTTGGCTTTGATGAAGCCAAGCTCATAATTTATGATTCTGTTGAAGAATGTGATGATCTGTTCTTCAAGGGAAGTAGAAATGGTGGCATTGCTGCTGCTTTCGACGAAATTCCATATATGAAGCTCCTCCTGGCAAAGTATGGCTCTAAGTATACTATGGCTGCACCTATATTGAAGACAGACGGCTTTGGATTTGTAAGTTAATTATTCCCTCTCTCAAGTGTTTTCTTCTCAGGCTTTGTTAATTTGGCATGAATGAAAATATTTATTATAGAATCCGAAATAACTAAACCAAATTTTATCTTCGTTTTGTCTGGTTTTGCAACTTGAAGGCCTTCCCTAGAGGGTCTCCTCTAGTTCCTGATGTATCAAGAGCAATTCTAAACGTGACTGAAGGACATAAAATGAGGGAAATAGAGGGAGCATGGTTTGGCATCCAAGACAGTTATCAAGATCTTAGCACATCAGTTTCTTCTAATCGGTTAAGTCTTAGAAGTTTCTGGGGCCTATTCATGATTGCAGGAATAGTTGCAATTCTATCTCTTATTACCTACGTAGCTATGTTCGTCTATGAACACAGGCCAAGCGATTCAAAGGGCTCAATATGGAGCAAAATTATGTATCTGTTAAGCATTTTCGATCAAAAGGACATGGAATCCCATACTTTCAAGAGAAGTGATTGTAATGGCACTAATCCTCCCAGTTCCAACATGGAACTGCCACGCTCTACCCCATTATCAATCTACTTGCCAGAAGAACGAGGGACATCATCTGGGGAACAAAGTGATGCGGATTCAACATCAACAGTATAAAATATAGTGGTTTTATCGAGCAGCTGTAATGTAAGAGTAGGATTACAGAATTAGAACAACGTAAGTAACTTTTAGCCACCTGATACCATCATCAAGCAGCTATTTTTATGATGAAAGATATTGGCTTTGGACTTTTTGCTGTAATATTTTAGAACCCGGTAGATCTCTATTTTTGTTTTCTATGTATATGGAAAGTGATAACGAAAAAGTAATGTAGAGTCCTTTATTTCATTTTTCCTCTTTTCTTATCAATTTTAAATGAGCAGGCTACATTAATTGGAGTTCTGCGAGAAACCCTAATCAACCATTTTATCAAAGATCATAACTTTTAATAGAATGAAATTTTTGAGAGTGAATCGTGAAAGCATTTCAAGCCAGACGGTGCGTTTATACGTTTGATTTCCCGGAGGATTACAGGAGGTTGTCCAACGACAATTCTTGGTCGTTAAGGAGTCGCCAGCAGGCGCCGTTAGAGGTAGTGTTACTGCTACCAACCAACCGGTGCGTTTAATTTAAAAGTAACTACCCGGTTGGAATTGGACTGTCGTTTATTTGAGGATAACCAACAGCTGGACTTGGACATGTCCAGAAGCTGTTTCCTTCCCTTCAGAATTCCTTTCTTCCTTTAAAGTTGGCACTGAACGCCTATATCCTTTTATCCTCTATACATGTGATCATACGACGTAGTTTGAGTTTCTTAGCTAATTGTGCTTTCTCGGACATTGTTATATATATATATATACACACACACACACATACACCGAGAGAAAAAAAAAAAAAAAAATCTTTGAGGATAAACCAACAGCTTGACTTGGACATGTCCAGAAGCTGTTTCCTTCCCTTCAGAATTCCTTTACTCCTCTTAAAGTTTGTGGCAAAACTGAACGCTAAATACCTTTTATCTCTATACATGTGATCATACGCGTTTGTTTGCACGTTTCTTAGCTAAATTGTGCTTTTCTCGGACCCCCATTGTTTATATATATCATAAGACACCCACACACACACATTACACCGAGAGAAAAAAAAAAAAAAAAAAATATTATAGTCATTATATATATTACATTTGATGGATTTCTATACAGTTTAGACTTCTAACTCAGATGCTAACAGCTGCAGCAGGATTACCAAAAACTTTCCTTAGCACTTTTTCATTTCATATTCACCCAAAGCATAAATTACAGAAGATATTCACGAAAGATATTTGCCAAGACACCTCTTTTAGTTTTTTTGAAAAGTGACAGGCCTTTGAAATAAATGAGTCCATGCCATTTGCATAACATTCTTTCTGCCAGACTCTCTGACAAAATGCATTGCTTTCAATCTGCATTTCACCAAATTAATTTTTTTCTTAGACGTACAAAAAAAAAAAAGAGTAATGGCATGCTCAGAAAGTAAAAAGGCATTCTTTGTGTTTTCAGGAAGTGCTTACTGCAAACTTTTAGGTGTTCCGTTGTCTTGGAAGTTTTAGATTGATTTGAAGGTGTACATAATTCAATTCCAGACCTTTCATTGGCTGCATCCCGCTGCCACTCTCTCAAAAAGAACGAATTCAAACTTGGTGCTTGAAGGCCAATCCATAACTGGCATAAACAAACATCCTGCAAAAAATTTAGTATAAACAGACCACATTAGCAGGCAGAAATTATTTCCAATTAAAAAATTATGAAAAAAATCATGAGTTTAGCTAGAATGACCATCAAGATGAGATCATAACAAATTGCAGTGAACTGCGGCGCGAAACTGCGCGCCACAGCTTCACATTTCATTGTTAAACGACAATCTATTGTATGGCCTAATTGGAAATTGTGGGCGCGCAAGCAGGATCGCAACACACAACGCAAGATCACGAGTATAAACACCACCACAATTCAATCACTTAGATTCCGGATCAACCATATACAAATACACACTTGCACTCTCAAAGATACTAAAGAGCCTAGCAATTTAAGAATATAAACTAGAAGAATCAAGACAACAAAGAACTAAAACAAAATGACAGATGATGGACATACATCATAACATATCTCTTCTACAAACACACACACAGCATCAACAGATTTCTACAGTACCACACACACATTCATTAATATATATATAATGAACTCAGTCCACTTGTCTGCCTGACTCCCCCGTGCAAAACCAAAGTGGATTCTGTTGCATGAATCTTTGCAATGGATTATTTGTGGTCATTCCTTGAACACCGTGCCTGGTTTCTACAAGCTACAATTTTCGATTATCAGGTTTCTGGCTGTGACTAAAAAAAACTTTCACAGGACTCGGAACAATGTGTCGGCAACTTCAACCATCGAACAGGCATCTTCAAAACTGAAACGCATTCTCTTTCAATTTAGTGATTATTAGAACCCGGAAATGAGTTAACCCCACTTTCTGAAAAGCCATTTCAGTTTATGAGAATTAGAATAACCAATACTATGTGGTAATAATTTTTGAGTTCTCTGGTGGATCCATTAAGAGAATAAAAGACGAGTCCCTAATAAAAGTAACTGGTTGAACAAAAAGAAACCAGCAGTTTCATTCCTTCTTTCAAGTGTCGTTATCAGCCATTTCTGAAAGAGTTCATCAGTATCATCAGAAGAATTCACATATTTGATGAATACCTGTATGTAAAACAAAATGTGAATGTAGATCCACAGTTCACTTTGCTGGACACCAGTTAAGACATCCACCCATCAGCTCAAGCTAATCAAATGCATAGAAATGGTCAGAATAATGTAGTCTGAAAATTGCGCGATGCCAAAAATGAGTTCTGATGACTTTCAACCAGCTGTTGCATATTGCAAGGCCCCAGCCTGTTTCCCGCCGATATATTTCCGAGATGTCCGTCCGGACTTGCATGTATTAATTTTTAAAATAGAAGTAGGTATTAAAAGCCATTTTCTGGTTACAAATGAACCAAGAAAATATGTAATGATGTGTCAGTGTATCCCTTACAGATGGACAGTAACAGTTCGAGCATATTAGATATGCACCTGCGTATTCCCAATGCCAGTGTCATAAACATCACAAGCTAGCCACACTATTGTTTCGTGCCCTAAATTGCAGGTTCCTCCTCTTTAGCTCCCATTCATGAAATTTCCATTTTTTAACCCGGTATTCATTGTTATAATGAGATTGTTAGGATTTATATTTTATCCTCTTGTGCATTTGTGGTTGACTTGACCAGCAGATGCCTTCTGATGTTTTTCCATCTGCTTTCCAAATCCTGATCTGAGTACCATATTAAAGTTTATCCCTACTCCCTTCATGTTTAAACTTATTGCATTGCTTAGATGAAACCAGTAACAGCGATCACAATTTAGAACCCTTCCTAAATCTTTTCCCAGCATACATCAATATGTAATCTTAAAAAGAATTCAATACCTATCAAATTGGAAGGAATCGTCGAAATCCTTAAAACGGTCTCCAACAACCTGAAATAAAAAAATAATTAAAATTAGTGTGCTGTATATTTTCTTGTGTATATTATAGTGTATGGTGTTTATCCAGAGTACAATGCGTCACCTCAAATAGGAACATCATCTGCAATGCTCCTTCCAAATAAGCATTTTTGCAATGTAAAGCCAGCTTGCCCTGTTTGCCAGATACATGCCTTTACTACCTCTCTGATAGGGCGGAAATTTTGTAGCTTCCAACTTCATAACACCAGGATCTTCAACCTTGGAAAGTCCAGTATGGTCATTTACATAACTGAAAGGACCCAAGTCCCCCTGAAGATATCATGCACATTTTAGTAGCCTGCCTTTGTTCACGGTCAGGTTTGTTGCTCCAGAGGATCTCAGCCATGCTAACACCCCAATAGAGGAGATCTTATCTCATGAGACATGCGTGCTAGCATTTGTTTGGACACCGGCATTCGTTCTCCTCTGCAAAATCATAACAAAGCCACTAATTAGATCTGAAACACTTTTCAGGAAGTGAAATCCCACGAAAAATTTTCACTAAATTAAATAAACCTTTATATGGCTCTTGTTTTTATTCAGCTTCTGTTCTTTGGCTGTCTGTAGTTACTGCTATCTCTTTTCGAAGTTTTTGCCATCTCTTTGCTCTTTTTTCTTACTGTTTACAAAAAGGAGGCCCACATAAAAATTTGTTCACCGCCTTCTAACAAGAAAAGAAAAAAGTGCTATAAACTAACCATTTGAAAATAGTGATTGTAAATTACCTGCATCAAGCAGACATCCATTCCCATATAATTTACTTGCCCCAATTGTCCCCTGACTTGCTAAAATACAGGCTCTAAACCATAAAATCCAATCCAAAAATGTCTTCAGGTGTTTCCAAACAATTTTCTGTCTCAAATGTATAATTTCCCTCTTTGCCAGGCAAATCCTTTTTCAAGGGAAAGAGACTTCTCGCTCTTTGAAATCTTGTGATTCCCTTAACTCCTTTACTCCTTGAGAATATTTCCATGTCTGTTCTTTCCCCGAAAATAATCCTACCAAAAATTGAAGATATCACGTTGTTAATAAAACTCCACTTAATGCAAACAATTCTCTGAAGAAGATACAAACAGGAAAAAGTTCAAGACAGGAAAAATTCTTCTACTCCCCAAGAGGGAAAAGGGGCATCATTTAATTCTTTGCAATTGTATTACCTTTGCCTCTTGCCAAACTTGGAAAATCTTTGATTGTAGTATAATTTAAGCGAATCTTCAGACTCGTTATCCTGAAAACAAAGGGACTAGTATTAATAATAGATCTTCAGCTTATGACAGAAAATATGAAAAAGCACAATAATAGCACGAAGAATAAAAATGTAAAGAGAATTTTCAGACTTATAGTGTTACCGAGATCAACACCTGCAAACGGGCAGCATTTTGCCAGTTATTAAAATGTCAAGAAATCTAAGTAAATTGTGCTGCGTCTTTTTCAGAATGCTGAAGATAAAATTCTTCAACTGGTGAAGTCTAGCCTTCCTCCCAAATTTTTTACGCTTTCTTGTTAACTTCATCAATAAGTTATTTGCCCTCTCCTCTAATTACTAGGCTTTCCAACAAATTTCTCTAAATGCATAGCTCAGCTTGCTGCAAATAATGTAAACAGTTTATCATACCTCAGGCAATCTATTCTACTTTCTTTCTTGAACAGATGACTTCTTTTTTTCTGACATGCATCGTTGATATATAATCCCAATAAACTTTCGTATATAATCGGTCAAAATAATATAGAATATCGGGACCGCTTCATCACCACCACTATCCA